ATACCACCTCCAAAACCCCATATACAAATGCAGGGAATTGAGTGTCTTAGGCTGGGTAAACCTGCGTTTAATAAGGTACGGTATTCAGACGTACAGAAGAAACTGCAAGCTTTCCCGGTGTTTAGCGCTTTGAAAGTAACTGAGATTTCCCATATGTGTGCACCGGATAGATCCTTACAGGATCAGATGGCAAAAATGGATTCGACGCTAGATACAATCCTACATGGACTTCTGCTTCAAAAGAACCCGGAGGTGTTTATTTCGACAGATGCAAGCGAACTAGGTTGGGGAGCCCAAATAGGGAATATATGCATGAAAGGAACTTGGCCAATGGAGCAAAAAACTGGCATATCAACTTAAAGGAAATGTTTGCCATACATATGGCTTTGCGAAAGCAAGTGAATGCTGTAAAGACAGAGTATTTTGAAGGCCAGATATAAAGACGAGGGCTGTAGCTCCTCCTTATCCAATACCGAACTTGCATCTTTACTTGACGGATACCCAATCAGGGGAAGTTCTACCTCAGGCCCACAAACTGAACTTTGTTGCTTGGAAGGTAGAGGGTGGGAGGCCTTAATAAGAGATTGGCCTCGTGATGACCAGATTTTGCTTCAAAAATCATAGCGAAAATCGTCCCTTCGAACTTATGCTTCACCTTGGAAAGAGTGGCGAAAATGGAATAAAAACAAGGATATTAACGTTTATGATGCAAAACCTGAGTTGGTGGCACAATATCTATCATATCTTTTTCGAGTTAAAAAGTACGCTGCAGCAACGATTAAGGTACATAAGTCCGTAATAGCCACTTTTGCCGATCCCATCAAAAGCACTCAAATATCAGAACATCCTCTGGTTAAACGCATTGGTATGAAGTGTATGTTCATGATAAACATATGGCCAATAAAAACTAACTCCATAATACATTCACAATATATGCACAAACAAGATAATTGTCACTTATGCCGAAACATTATTATTATTTATTATTATTTTTGCTAAATGTATTTAGTCCAATTCCTAAAGGCCAGAACACTTATTTTTGATGAATGTATTTGTTGAAATGCTTCAACATTTTGCCCAAGCCATTTGTTTTGTTTTGACTAGAGTCGTTTCTGGCCGTTCTCGATTGTTTCGAAATCGACAAGGTAATTACGTCACCCTTTCTTTCCACAATACAGCTAACCTTCAAAAACCAATAGAGGGATGCCTGAAAGGGTGAAAAAATAGCTATGAGAATACTTACAAAAAAAGTGCAAGAAGAAAGATTTACTAAAACTTTGCAAATCAGGTGCTACACCTGCTGAATTTCACCAGTATTATCACAATCTACCTGTATCCAATAATGTTAAAGACACAGTACCTGAATCTTCCATCGAATATTATAACCTGTATGTAGACAGTTAAAATAAGCTAAGTGACGTAATTTTTTTCTCTTTTTTATTACTTTGTGAAGACTAATTACCTATGTTGTGAATACCTTTTTTCATTGGAGTTATTGTTTATTAAACAATTTAATGCTTTTACTGCGATTTTGTATTAAATTTTAACCTTTTGAACAGCTTTTTCTCGAAACTCTAAAAAATGTGAGATCTTGTTTTTGCATTAATCAAGGGTGAGATTACAGAACGTCTGCAACTATGCAGCCATAGATTACTTGAATAGATGGGAAACTCAATGGTAAAATTATGAGTCGATGTGCTGCCATCTATCAAATTGGAGTGGTACTAAAATTCAATATGGCCGCCACGAGCGGGCTTTTTGAAATTTAACTTTGTAGTAGCGCAAAAATGTAATAAAGAAAATCAAATAAAGCAAAAAAATTGGAAAAATATTTGACTAGTTTTAAATCATAAAACAACCATATTGACTGTTTTGTGATTTGAAACTAGTCAAATATTTTGCCAATTTTTATCTTTATTTGATTTTACTTCATTATATTTTTGCATTCATTTCAAACTTGAAATAAAATGCAATTTATTTTATTTATTACAGTAATTAACGCCGCATCATATAATTTGTCTATTTAAACATGGAAATACTCAAACAAATATGCATTTACACCATTTAAATAATTAAATATTTATAAAACAAACCTATCAAAAATGTTTTCTGTAACAAAATCAGCATATATAAGTGCTCAAGACCTTTATAAAAGTTTTGCGACTTGGAGTGGCAAATAAGTTTGAAAAAATTGAGGTTGAAGCATCCATCATCCTTTTTTACTATCGAAGCAAATTTGAGTGTGGATAAAATTTGCCATACAGTTATTGAGTTGACTAGTTAGGTTGAGGAGCATTTCTTCATCCGATAATTGTTTTCTTGATTCATTTATACAGCACTTGTAGTTAGCAAATTTTTATTCATCATGTGGGCAGGGTGATAAATAAATTTAACTTTTGAGCATAAATTAAACTTACACACATTTGGAACCTTGAAGATTTTAAGGTGTTTTCTTGTTTGATGTCAATGGCATTGAATCAATTTTTGATATTGATGGCTGAGGCTCAAATATTTCATCGATCGACAGGGTATTTTGGAGGGCCAACATTTTCTTTACAAAAATGATCATTTAAAAACTGAAAACAAAAAGAAATTTAAATAACAAACCAATTATTTTAACACTGAATCAAATACAAGTTTGTAAATATTACTTACCGTTGGTACAGTGATGATGCATTTTTCTTAAGACACTTATTACAATTTGGGGGACGACTGCATATTTAATGTGGTATAAATTGCATTACTACCAATATCTGGGAGTGCTTTATTGTTTGTTGTTGAAATCCATCTTCCCATCTTTTGAAAACATGCTTAAAATTGGAAGGTGTTGAAAAATAAATCTAGATTCTAGATGAATCAAAATTCAATACACCTTCAAATACAACAGCCATTTTATTTTATCTGAGTTTGAAGTTGAAGTTTTGACAACTGACATGACAGTTCGATACGAGCGCCATCCCGTTAATTGGAGTGGTACTAAATTACCAGCCTCATGTTTTTCCATTTGAGTTACCAGCCCCTGTATGCAGCTTTGCAAATATGGCGGCAACTTTGAAAATCTTGCAAATATGACTGACTTACACATGCAAGTATCAAGTTTTCGTATTCCAAATTTGAGTTTAGTGTTGTTGGGGGTAATAAACCACAATAAATATTGCGAATTTGCAGATATTTTTTAGAATACTTGCGTTTGTAAGTCCGCCATATTTGCAGATGCGCAAAGTTGCAGACGTTCTGTAATACCACCCCAAATAATTTGTATAAATACTTTTTAATTACCTATAATTTGTTCAGGTTAATGCATTTAAAGGAATTAGTAGAAATGAAGCAATTCGCCAGCTTTGGGGCTTTCCATTAAAAATAACATCCAAGTTATTCAACGTTTTCAGAATAAAGTATTGAGGAACATCGTCGATGCATCTGGTACTGTCGCAATACTGATCTTCATAGGGACCTCAAAGTGGAGACTGTTGAAAATACCATACAAATTTGCCAGTAGTCACCAACAAAGACTGCTCCAACAGCAGAATCTTAGTTTAAGAAGTTTTTCATCCATATAGATAAGTTAGGTTAGAATAAAATTGCTAATAAATTTTAATGATCAGATTGTATTAATCGTAAATGTTTCTTTACTCGGGGCATTTATTAAAAAAAACAATTTGTTTCAAATTAGTGCCTTTAAAGGAATTGGTGGAAATAAAGCGATTCGCTTTTTTATATTTTATGAAATAATATTTAAAAATTATTTATTTGTTTGTTTAGGAATCAATGTTTATGTTTTATGTATATTAAATAAACATGTATATTTTTAAATGTCTTTTTAGTCTTATAATATTTTAGAAAAAAAAAAAACTAGAATACATTTCTGAAATATTAGGTACTATTTAATATTTCTAAAAGGTTTCAAATTTACATTTCAGAAATATTACCGTGAAATATTATATTTTTACGTTTCAGGCACATTTCAAAAATTTTTCTAGGATGTTTCGTTGTATTTATACATTACAAATGTTTCAATGTAATATTTCTGAAATGTGTTGTGTATGGGTACCCACCTAGCTGTTCGAAGAAATAGTGAAGTGAAATGTATTAAATTGTAACCTAGAGATTTTACGAGAAAGCAAAAACAAGATAACGGAGAATTATTTATCCCCCTAGAAATCTTCCCCCAGATCCACGCATGTTTTGAAAATACAAATTTGATAATTATAACACGAGTTGTATTTGTTAATATCATTAAACAAAATATTTCTACCACACTTGTCTCTCATTTTTTGTAAATTATGTTCAACAAAATCAATTATTATTTACAAGGAATGAGTTCATTATGGGTTCACGAAGATTAAAATGATTTTAATCTTCGTTTAGCATTAAACTTCGTTTAACACAACGCTGGAATTAGCCCCAACAATGTCATTTTAATCTTCGCGCGTTTAGTAATTTTAACTTCCTTTAACACAACAGTGGAATCGGCCCTTATTATATTGTATCACGAAATAATAAAAGCTGCATAAACCATTTCATTACTAGGTACTCTATTTGCTTCGCATTTTAAATTATTTATAAAAGTATAATAATTGTATTCGATAAGTAATATTATTAATTATCATTAGTTTCTCATTTGCAAAAAATTTTATTTCATTTAAATGTAATAAAACAGAACCACAGCTTATACATAAGCTGTGACAGAACTCTTATATTTAAAAAAAACATGCAGTTTATAATAGGCATGCCGGCACACGAACTGCTCATTATAGCAACGCAATGGTCTGTTGACATACTTTGGTAAGAGGTGTGTGCACCAAAACAGAAGAAGAAGACAAGTAAATGACCGCTCATACCACGTCAATTTGATGTTTTTTAAATTTGAATGTTTGTTTAATTTTCAAAAATTATTTTCCTTTAGATTCTTAAGTTAAATAACATTAGTGTTTTTATAAATTAGTTTTGTTACCATTATTTTCGAATAGTGTCAAAAAAGTTTGATCAATAACGGAAAAATGGAATCCGGTTCTACATTAAATACTTTAAATTTTTATTCAAAAACAGACACAAGTTTATATCCAGTGGAAATAAAATCATCTACAAACTTGGAAGGAATTTTAATCGAGTCTAGTTCGGAATCAACTGTACATTCTAAGGAGTTGAAGTTATATCAAAAAGATGCGAAATCATCCAAAAAAATTGAAGACAACTCGTCACAAATTTCTATTAAAGAATTTTTAAATTTTTTGAAGGTAGCATATCAGGTAAGACAACATATTCACGAGATATTTTAGATTTTTTTTATTGAATGGATAAGGCGATGTATTTTTTAATACTATATATACAGGGTGTTCCTTATATAATGATTTGCGAATATTTAAGGGTGCGAATCTACATGAAAAATTAATGATAGGTACTTTGCTTTATATAAACTATTGTCCAAAAATGTTCCGTTACAAAAATACAGGGTACTAAAGTTTTAGAAAAAAAAAACGAAAATTAATTAATATTTTCGTAATCGCTTGAAATATTTCAGTGATATTTAATATTCAGTGACAGTTAATAATGGTGCATATTTTTCAATACGCTAGTTCAGTGTGATGTCATTTTGGTTCCACTGACATTTAACTCTAACCAAACTTTTAACAAAAACATCAATAAATTTGACATATTAATAATAAAGGCAGGTAGCAGGTCAGGCCCCGTTGTCATATTTGGTTTCAATTTTTTAATAGCCTTGACAATTTCGTCTTGTGATATTGATTTTATGTATAGTGTCAGAAAATTTGAAGTCGATCCATTTGCGTAGTTGCTGACCACAGAAATGCTGACTGAGAAGAACTATTAAAGAAATGATCTGCAAGAGCCTGGTCGATTGCTTGTGGGTCTTCAATAAAGCAGTTTTTATACTCAATTGATGTTGGTATGGAGAATGAATAATTTTTAGAATTCATATAGCTCCAGAATTGTTTAGGATCGTTTTTTATATTTCTCTCAATATTTCGCAAATACAAATTGCAAGCCGATGAGATTTTTCGTTTTATATTAGAGCGATGGTTTTTAAATATAGGTATTTAGTGCGTTTACCGACTGAATGGATTTATAGATTCTGTCGGCTTTTTCTTTTTGTTGAATCATGTGTATATTATGTTACTATTAAACCACGGCGGATAAGTTCTAGAATTCGTTTTCTTGATAGGAATATGTTCTCTAAAAATATCATATAGTTTGTTGTTCAATAACTGAATACTCTGTTTTTAAACTAAGAGGAGCGATTTGAATTTAAGTTGGCAATTCTGTAGCCTTCTGATTGGTCAGATTACAGTCAGTTTCACACATTACTTTTTAGCATGAACATCAGCTAATAATGCGCTAGTTCAGTGTGATGTCATTTTGGTTCCACTGACATTTAATTCTAACCAAACTTTTAACATCAATAAATTTGACATATACATTTTTACTGTTTCTATTTTATTTCAAAATATTGTTTACAAGTCATAAAAAATTGTTTAAAGGTATGTAATTGGTAACTAAACGATTGTATATTTGATACATGCTATCTACTTACTTTAGGAATATATTTATAAAAGTGAAAAAAACGATATAATTTAGGTAAACAAAACGCACTCAAAAAATCTACTGTCACTTTAATTGTCAGTGGAACCATAATTACATCATCACTGAACTAGCGCATTGATATTGTTGACAGTTCTGACATTTTATAATTTGATATATCTCATCCATTACTTAGTTTTTTTTACTTTATTTCGTAAATAATAGTTCTTCAGTAAGCATTTGTATTGAAAATCTACAATTATGGATCCTTCTACACTGAGTACTATTAAAGGTAGCAATTCCTGAAAAGATTTACAAGAAAGGGAAGAACCTTATTATTTTACATGCTGATTCTGAAGGTTTTGTAGAAAATGCATTATTGGTTTTTCAAGGTAAAAAGATGGAAGATTGCTATGAAGAGATGAATTCCGAAGTATTTTAGAAAAAAATAATTTTATTACTGATTTTTTAAAACTAAAAATTGATGAATTTCTAACCAAAATGATTAAAATGTAACTAAATATTCAAGCAAATTTTATTTATTAGAATAGAATAAAACTATTTACAAAATTGTTATAACATTTAAAACACCATCTACTACTTTAGGGATAATCTTAATTTGGCACAATGAGTTAACATTATTTTCACAAAAAATATTTTAAAAATACTTAAAATTAATACATAGGTATGTATGAATACTTCACTTTAAAAAATATATGTTGACATGTTGTTCCAGTTTTCAAAACAAATTCTGACTCATAGGCCTGTAAACTTTTGAATGCATTTATTTGCCCTCTAGCGCATTAACCATGGGTTAACACTAAATAAGCCATAATATCCACATTACTCATAGAAGAGATACCAGTTATGTGTGATCCACTTGTCATTCACTGATTAACTTTTACTTTTTATACCTATAACAAATATATCTTTAAAATGTAAACAGATCTTTATATTTTATACTAACCTGGCTACATCTGGATATTCCATTACCAATTTTCTTAAATATTTAATATCCATTTTAAAAAGATCATAGTTATTCTCAAAAAGTCGATTTCAAAAGCAAGAAAAAATTATTTCTGACAACAATCAACAACCATATTGACTTTAATTTGACAGTGACATTTTGTTTTAGTCACACATTTCCTTAGATAATATAATAGCAGATAGGCCACCACTGCATAAAGTTATACAATATTAATGTCGCTATCATATAATCAGTATCTCTCTTTCATAGAAGGCTTTCTCACTCGTTTTAGAATTCTCAGCAGTAGCGTACCGTAAAACAATGTTGACCAAGTAGAATATAAAATAAAATATTTTAAAAGGTAGGTAGGTACATTTTTAAGTGAAAACAAAATATGACTTTTTTGTTATGAATATAATATTAATAACAATTACTTTTAACACCACAACACGAACAAATTTAAATTAAACACTGGAATAATTGTTTGAGAAAAGCTTTGTAAAACTGACAAATACAAACAAAGAGATAGAGATATTAATCTATTTCTCTCTAATTAGAATTCTCGACCATATTATCATGGCGACACAAACATTGTTTACTGTCCTCTCTTTACTACTTACTCTGAGCACATTTCAGATCACAATAATGTGAAATTTGCGACCGTTGTCTGGGATCGTGTCTGGGGCCAATTAAAAAATTACTTCTATGAAATTTATTCGTTTCTTAACCGCTCATTGGCCGTTCACCGACTAAGGCCGATAAAGATAATTATTTCATAAATTTTGAACACGACTATAGCTGTTTTTTGGCCACCACATTGGTTTAAAATATTTTTTAAACCATATTTAAAGTGACGTCATGAATTAATAGATGGCAAAAATAGGGTGGTTTAAAAATATAACCTGCTAACTGTCATATTACTATGAAGACTAGTCTTCATACATATGACAAAATTTGAAATATTCTGATTTCGATCGTATTATTTTTTGATGGATTACCGGTTGAAATAAGTTGTAGAAAGGAGAAGCGATAAGTTGATTTAAAAAATGAATTGAATTTTTTTATGATTGTTAAATCAGATGAAAGAAGATGAGTTTGTTTGATAGCGATTTTAATTAAAAATTGGAGTGTTATTAATAAATTGTAATCTGAAACGTTGTTTATAGTTTTATTTTTGATATATTTCTTGCCCATAAACATGGCATATATTTATTCCGTAGCTCCAATAAATACGCAATTGTCTGACGATCCTTTGCTATAATTTTTTTTGGGCTTTCCCAAAGTTCATCAATTAGAACGTCTTGTGCCATAGAATTTTTAATTGCTTTTAAATATTTACTGGAAAATTCAGAATCTGAAGCAATCTACGTAATTATTTTTGCAAAAAACGTATAGGTAACTGATAATTAATCCTTTTACCACATTTCAATTGCATCATTGTTTCATAATCCAGAGTAACCTATAGGTAGATCACATCTTGTTTATAATGTTTACAACATATAACGATCAATATTAATATTATAACATAATGTATGAATATGAATCACCTCCGAGCAATTGGAGTGAATCACATAATATATGTATGATAACAAAAATTAACAAAACGTCAAATATATCAAAATTTTCAAAGAATGGAACAGAGTAAAACAACATACAAAATCAGAATCTCTTATGTGTCAACCGTTATTGAACCATATGCCTCCGACTGGTTCAAACATTCTAGCTTTGGTTTAAAATATTTCGTACGTGATGTCATAGTTGCATCGCTAAATTTTAAACGGTTTAAAAAAGTCGAAAATATTTTAAACCAAACACTCGCTAAAAAATACCTTATATTTCGAAACTCGCTCTTAGTAACAAATCTAGTTACTTTTCCCTGTGTAAATGCGTCTTTTCAATTCGCTCCTCCTAGTTTAAAAACGGAGTATAATATCTATGTTAGATACATTTTGCAGAAAGCTTCAGTCGATATTGTTTATTGCATTGTAGAGATTTGAGAAATTTGCTTTTTTGTAATTGAACTGCATATTATCTGGTTTACAGGGTATTGGTGAATTTGTATTTGTTGTTGAAATTTCTATGCATAATGATGGATGGTATATAATCATCTTCATTTAACACTATTTCATCAGCTCTGTAAACCTTGCATTCATTATTAAAGTAAACTAAATCCAATAAGCATTGAAATTTATTCTTGACTAAATTGAACTGTTGTAAATTAAAGAAATTTGCAAAAGTTTTAACATTTAGTTTGGCAGACATACTAGGACCATTTATCTGAGAAGCGTACTCTGGTATATTAAAATCACCGATTACAAGATTTTTATCATATAAAGTTGTAAATAGTGATAGTGTTTCTAGAACCATCTCATAATCATTAACTGAACTAGAAGTGGGTATGTAAATAAGCAAAATGTATAAACATTGGGAGCCTGGTTTTATTTTAATCAGTAGAAAATCAATATTGGTATTTGCGGGAATTGAAACACAGAGATCACTTATATTAATCATACTGGAATTTAGCTCCTTTTTCAGAGCACAGATAACTCCACCACCCCTTGCAAAGTTCGTTACTTCATATTTCCGATCAACCCTATAAACATCGAAAGTTAAGTTAACAGATCAAATAGTTCTCCGTCGTGAATTGTATCGTTACATCAGCTTTCTGTAAAAAAATAACCTGCATATTGTGTAATAGCTGAAACACTGTCAAATAATATTAATTGGGTAGTTTTTGTTCTAAGGCCTCTGACATTTTGATAGATAAATTCAGAAGTTGAATTAATACAGACATTATTTTTAGATGAATTAGTTGGTTGCTATTGAGATGGCACTATTGCTACTTCTAAATTTTGTTTGTGCTCTCTTATAAAAATTTTTTTATCCCAAGCGACATGATCAACAGAAATATGGTTTGATTTGAGATTAGCACAATTTACACATTTCAAACTAGCAGAGTTACAATCTTTTACATCGTGATTGGAGGGTATTTTTTACTGCATTGTTTTGATAAATGGTGAAGACCTCAACAATTAAAACACCTACGTGGTTCCACGGCGCAGTACACAGGACAATCAAAATCAAACCCGACGATTAGTTTACCTAATTTCATAGCTTTGTGGTAAGTATTTGCATTCACTTGGACGACAGCTTGGGACAGTTTCCTATTCTTTAAGTGCGGTTTAACGTAAATTATTTTAGGAGCAGAATTTTCACTAAAACAGGATTTATTTTGTTGTTTAAAATAGTCCAAAAGAGTGTCATCATCAAATTTTTCAGACATATTAGCGATCTTGATTCGTGGATGGAGAGAGGAGATAGATTTCACATCATATTTGTCACCTAGATTAGTGTTGAGGATATATATGTTGAAATTTGGAAGAGTCATCTTTATTTCCACAACTAATGACTAACCCACCTTGACGAGTTCCAGTGACATTGGAGACATTAATATTGGCCTTTATGGGATCAACACTTAGCAGAACTTCAGATTTTGTTGTAGATACCGGTTGGACTGTATTTTTAGGATGAAGCACAAATTTAGAATTTGAAGCAATATCAGCAAAAGTTGGTTCATTACTGGTTAATAATTTTCTTAGCTATTAATTCTTTTACGCTAGTTTCAATTAACTGGAAAGACGATTCTAATTTTTGGGTAATCTCTTTTCGAAAGTTTTCAAAAATTTTATTAATATTGTTGTTGATGTCATCAACTTTTTCTTTTTCTTTGAATTGCTCATTTATTGATTTATCAACGATATCAATTTTATTTTTACTGGAATAACATATAAAATACAGGTTTTTGGATTTGTGTAGCAATTTAAATTCAGCATCACTTAACCAAACGCAGTCAGGATGGAACCCATTTTTTTCAATTTGCATTTGGCACAATATTCGGGCATGTTGCTTTGGAATTAAAAACTACAGCTTATTGCGTGCAATTTATACGCGCCCAAGTTTTTTTAACTTAAAAATAGTAAATTGTGAATTCGAGAGATTAAGGTTAACCTTATTGATGTTATTGAAGAAGAATATTCCAGTTACTGCCGTTAATGATTAATTCTAAGACGTATCTCCACTTCCTTACATACATAAGTGTTTTATAGATTCACCTTACTGGTTTTCAGAAAATATATTGCACTGAGATTTAAATAACTTTGATTTTAATAGTATCGCACACACAAAACAACGTGTAGGAAGAATAAAAGAAAACAAATAACATTTAAACCATAGTTTGTAAAGAAAACTATCATTCATTTTTCATGTTGATTTACACCCTTAAATATTCCCATATCATTAATATATTTTATTTAAAATTCAAATTAATAAAACATATCTTTGATAATTAAAAAATCTGTTTAGCTTCAAAAATTGATTTGAATTTTATAACTAAACACCGGATGTTTGTTACTTTTTAGGTTCAAGATAGTATAGAAAATGTTCTTACAGCAAATGGAATGATAGAAGCAGTGGATTGGTTAAAAAGAAAGGAAACGCTTCTATTGTTAAGTCAAAATAGCGTCAGTAGTCAAACTATACCAGAAATATATCAAGAAAGACTACCAGATGAAAAAAAGGGTAATTGATGGAAATACTGAAATTTAAATACTATTTTTATTAGTACAAAACACTATAACTTTGATTGTCTAAATTCACCTCATATACAGTTTCTCTTATCTTGTGCCAACATTGCTTGCCGAACTATGTTAAAGAAGCTATTTCTTTTTTAGAAATTATTATTCGCCGCAAAAGTGCATCATCATTAGGCTCAACATGTGACCCGGAACCACTAAAACGAAAACTAAGTGACCTAGTCACTGATGGTTTGCTTGACTCTGTTCTCCCATATTTGGTAAATAACACAGCTTCAAAAAAAAGTTTGGTGTCCGTCAAGGTTAATGGTAAGATAATAAATTTACAACCTTTACAAATCTATATTGTAAACCAAGCTGAATTACGCCCATATGCACTATACGAGAATGGGATGAAAAGTTTCCGGCCTAACCTATAGTAGGCCCGATTTGCTTTCCTGTTCCAACGTGTCTGTGTAGAGTGTGTAGCCTTAGCCTTGCTTGTCGTCAGTATACGCTCGAAGTTTAAAGTGAGTGCGTCAAGTAGTTTGTGTCCTGGGTATTTTAAAAGCTTATAAAGTGCGCCACTTTTAGAAGGTGGAAAAAAACGAGATAAGAGCGGTGATAAAATATTTCCATATCAAAGGATTGTCGCCGACGGAAATAAAAGCTGCACTAGATGCTACACTAGGGGAATCTGCTCCTTCATTTACCACAGTTAAAACCTGGGTAGCAGACTTTAAACGTGGTTGTACTAGCACTGATGATGCTCCGCGTTCTGGCAGGCCAAAAACAGCAACTTCTAAAGAAATGGTGCAAATCGTTCACAAACTAATTCTAAAAGATCGCAGATTAAAATTGGAAGAGGTAGCTGAGGCTGTGGGCATATCAAAAGAGCGAGTTCACTATATTTTGTGTGAAGTTTTTTGTATGAGAAAGCTATCCGCCCGATGGGTGCCGCGTTTGCTCACGCCAGATCAGAAGCTCACGTGGCTAACCATTTCAGAGCAGAATTTGGCCCTGTTTAGACGTGATCTAGGGGACTTTTTGCGTAGATTTATTACGGTTGATGAAATATGAGTTTATCATTATACACCTGAAACTAAACAACAGTGGACGGCAAAGGACGAACCAGTTCTAAAGAAGGCAAAGGCAGTACCGTATGCTGGAAAGGTCATGGCAACGGTCTTTTGGGATGCTAAAGGGATACTCCTAATAGATTATCTCGAAAAGGGAAGAACAATAAATTCCGAGTGCTACAGCGACTTACTGGACAAGCTTAAGCAGAATATAAGCGAAAAACGTCCTGGTTTGGCAAAAAAGAAAATTTTGTTTCATCAGGACAATGCACCTTGCCACAAGTCGATTCTTGTAATGGCTAAAATTCATCAGCTAGGTTTTGAACTGTTAAACCATCCTCCGTATTCGCTAGACCTTTATTTGTTTCCAAACCTAAAAAAATTCTTACTGACAAAAATTTTTCCACGGATTTAGAAGTAATTGCAGCCACAAACGCCTATTTTGACGAGTTGGATAAATCAGACTATAATGACGGTATTAAATCGCTTGAACATCGTTGGGTCAAATGTATTACCCTACAAGGGGACTATGCAGAAAAATAAATTCTTTTTCAGTCACTATTCGCTGCCTGAGAGTAACAAGGGTGTTTGTTACAAAACGTCAGATTTTCAGTTTTCGTTATTACAAAATTCTATGATTTATGAGCTACACATACCTACAACCTTTAAAGTTTCAAAAATCTTACCTAGAAGCTTTATTATCGTTATAAAATCAAAGGTGTATGTCAAAAAATTTTTAAATTTGAGTGACAGGGTTTTATGTACGACATACATTTTTATTATCAAAAAATGTACAATTTATATAAAGACTTTATCAATGAAAAATGTTCTAATCCTGTAAAAATACATATCTACCGTAAAATCTTCTGTACGGAGTTTAACTATTCATTTAACAAACCATCAAAAGACTTATGTGATTTGTGTGCTGAAGTAGATCTCAAAACTAAGGAGAATAACTTAAATGAACACAAGAGAGATAAGTACGAAAAACATTTACAAGAGAAGGAGTTGATGAGAGATGAGAAGAAAAAAGACATAAAAAGCGGAAAGGCAATATTGTGTTTTGACCTAGAAAATGTTCTCACACGTCCTAAAGGAGATGTCAAAAATTTTTTCTATAAAAGCAAGCTGAACGTATATAATATGACTGCACATCTGTGATTTAACGATACTAAGACTATTTACTGTGCAATTTGGTCCGAAGTACTTTACGGAAGAACAGGCAATGATATTGCTAGTGCAATGTACAACATTTTAAATAGAGTGGCAGAGGACCTTCCGCTATTAGAAGAGCTTATTTTGTGGAGCAATAGTTGCGTTCCCCAAAACCGAAATAGTTTAATGAGCTTTGCAATTGCACATGTTATACAAAAAAATGAAAGCCTGAAAAACATTACAATGAAATTTTCTGTTCCTGGGCACTCATGCATCCAAGAAGTGCACTCAGTGCATAGTGCAATAGAGCAAAGTATAAGGCGATCAGAATATTTCTCCCCTGTTTCACTACTAAGAATGTTGGTAAAAGTAAACAGAAATAAACCATATACCATACTACAAATAAAACAGCAAGACTTTTTGGATTTTAGCTGGCATTCCTCTAAAATGAGATATGACTCAGTTCCATTTTCAAAAGTTGTTTCCTTGGAGTTTACTAAATATGTTAACGAAGTTAAATTTCGGAATTTTCTGAAACGGAATATATAACGATTAGCTTAAGACAAAGAAATCTAAGGAAAAATCATGTGACCGCAGAAGAAGAATTAATTCCTACGTACATTAAAAGAAGTAACGTTTAAGGGCTTTCTGCCCCCAAATAAAGTAGCTACCATTAAGTCTATGTATAATTGGATGCCACAAGTAGATAATATGTTTTATGAAAACGTTTTTTCCAAAATGGCCCAAGAAACAAAAAACAATTATTTTGTCAAAGTATTTTAGGTGTATGTAACATTTCCTTATTTTTTTTTCGTTTTATTATAAAGTAACATAGTTGTATGTCATTTAGTTTTTCTTTTCAAAATATATGTAAAAAACAAAATTGTATATTTATTTTTCATCAAAATTATTTATTTACATTACAACATTATAACATTTAGAAAAGAAAATAAACAGACTACGGTATCTATGATTTTCGTAGGTCAAAATTGATTATCGGTTTTCTTCGTTTTCTATTCTTGTGTCATACAACTACTCGTAAAAATCAAACTAGCTAATGTCTTACAAATTATTATCTCGAATGTTCCAAACACTTAAGCAACAAATTTATTACTCTCTTTTTAATTAAGAACAATATCCGGAATAATAATAAGCCACTCCAGTAGCGATTATTGTGCACTGGATATTCAGATTTTCATAGTTCTTACTTATTTTGGATAAATTATTTTTATAGAAAAACTTCCAACAAGTGCATCTGCCACATATGTTACGCAAAATGAAAAACTTGGCAGAAGAAAGTCGAGCGAAGCAGTCTTAAAAAATATCGCAACTAAATCTCAGTAAGTACATACAATAAGACAAGAAATATTATTAGATTCTCCATTACGTAAACTAAATAGGTGCACTTTAACCAGTAGCGTAGCCACGGGGGAGGTTTTGGAGGTCAAAGCCCCCATGGAGGTTCCTCGCATATCTGTTTCGCTATAGTATTGGCGCTGATCGCTATTGACTGTTTTTATTCACTTTCTTGTTCTCAAAAACCCCATCCATGACAAATGTCTGGCTACGCCACTGACTTTAACATTATTTTAAAACTGAGTAAATGCTAATCTACATTTATAAGTAGGTTTGTTTTGGTTCTTTTACGAACTAGTTCAGAATCAGTGACTTATATACACTCGGTCAGTCCAACAGGCTGTTATATTATCGCGACGTTTTCTTGAAAAAATAATTCGTCCACTGTATTTGGGAACTTGATTCGACGGTTCTGTTTGAACCAAAACAAACCCATTATAATACGTAACAAGAGTTGTAAGTACAGCCCTTTCCACACGAAGTGGAAAGTTTAGCCACGAAATTAATTTTTTAATGAAGGGTTGGAGTAATAAAATTTAAATAGGAGTAATAAATTAGCAATAATTCGCTAAAAATTATGGCGTAGTAAAAAATAAAAATTCGGTTTTTGGTTTGCTTGCCTCTACGTACGCTAAAAGATACCACGTTTTTTTCAATGAAGGGTTGGAGCAATAAAATTAAAATAGGGGTAATAAATTAGCTATAAATTATAGCGTTATAAAAAATAAAAAAATTGGTTGTGGCTCTGCTAGCTTCCACGTACGCTAGCAAAGCCACATTTTTAAATGAAGCGATGGAGCTATAAAATTAAAATAAGATTAATAAATTAGCAACAAATCAGTTAAAAATTAGGGCGCAATAAAAAATAAAAATATTGATTGTGGCTTTGCTTGCGTATACTATATTGTAACAACGGTATTCTCGATAAAACCTTATTAACAATACACTTAATGCGGCAGGAATACATTATTTCAAATCATATCGTTTCACTTCGCGTCGTTATCACTAAAAAATTCTTATTTTCCACGCGAAAAATAAAAAATTACGAAAAGGGGCCAGCGCTGAGCGTTCCGGTGTTAGACCAGTGAATGTGGTCGGCTTTAGAGAAATTTAGCCTAATTCAGCGGCGGCTCGCTAGATGACGCAGGTGACGCGCTGCTTCACCAAAATTTCAGTAGAAATTAATAAAAAAAATCAACTGAATAGCTAAATATTTCTTTTTATGTAACAAAATGCCCTGCATTTTTGTCTCTACACAAATTACCAAACAGAAACCTCCAAAACTATACCTAATTTCGGAGTATCTGAACCACTGCTTGAAACAAACTAGGCGCTTGATAAAAAAAATCCGACCGTCCGGACTCGCTTGTTTTAGGAAATATAATACAATAGAAAGATTTCCTAATCCGAGCGAACGGAGCGTTTGACGCACCATGCATAAAACCGCCGAACACGCGTCTCTTCTATCGGCGCGTTTATGATAGTTGCCATGGCAACGGCACGTTTCGATCTAGCCGATTAATGCTACGTTGATTCAGTTTGCTTCTTCCGGTCGGAACTATTTTTAGGCAGTGGTTGGACTAGTTGGTCAATTGCGACTATTGCGAGTTTTTTTCGATTTTTTTAACAATGTTTCTAGTACATGATCCAGTATGTATGGCTATTGAAGATGCCATTCTGTAGATGGGGAAGTTAGGATTAAAAAGTCTTTTTAAATTCGCCAAAATCTGAACCAGTAAATGTAAGCAAATAAACTAAGTCAAAAGACAAAGTGTTTGTGCGAAAATTTCGGAAAGAATGATATTCCGAATGTAAATGGTTGTGTGGTAGTTTTTATTTAAACAAGCTTTTTTGCATACCGTGTTAGATAGTAGGTGTAAAATCAAATGTATGGAATAAAGACGGTTTTAGTGATTTTGGGAACGTAACTCGCGGCCTACATAAACATGAATCATCATGTGAACATATGCGTTGTGCATTAAGATTTACAGAACTAAAAAAAAAAAAAATTAAATTCTATTGAAGACGCTTTAAAAGAAAACTCTAGGCTATATGTAAAACAATTTAATGAAAAAGTGCATCTTAACAGACGTTTTATGCAGTTGCCAATTCGAGTTCTAGGAAAACATGAATTGGCATTTCGTGGTCATAATGTAAGTTTAAGGAACTTTTAGATTCCTATATCTCACTCAGTTCTGTAGACATTCAAGAACACTATAAAAAAATTTCGCTTGTACCTATTTGCCGCAAATTCTAAAATAATTCAAAATGAATTAATAAACTGTATTTCTCAATATATTGACAAATATATTGAAATGGAATTAAATGATTGCAATTTTTTCGTTTCAAGTAGACGACTCAACAGATATTGCTCAAAAATCTCAATGTAGCATAATAGTTAGGTATGTTAACTCTCAAGGAAAGCTAGTTGAAATATTTTTAGGATTCCATGACGTAAGTTCTGATCGAACAGCTCAAGTATTGTTTACCCTAGTTACAAGTTGTCTAGAAAAATACGACTACAAATCAATACTTGTTGGCATGGGCGAAGTTATGTCATCAGATCTGGGGGACTAAAACCCTAGCCCTAGTCTAGTCATATAATATATAATAGTTCTAGAGGTATACCTACTGAAGTTAAGTAAAAAATTCTGGCGAATCTATGAAAATGGATAAAATATCATATATCGATTCTAAACAAAGTTTTGCAAAATTTCAATATTGTGAATTTGTAGATATCCATTTATGGTAAAAAACTAAATTTTACGACTTGCACTTGGAAAATAATGAATACTTCAGTTTTGATTTTGACATTAACACCATATAGATTGCAATTTGCTGGGGACTTTTTGGCAGATTTCATTTTTAACATAAACACTATCACATACTATAAGAAATAAACAAAGCTAAAAAGTAAGAAAAACTCGAATTGTAATTGATACAAATTAAAATGTAAACAATGAACTCGTTGCCAAATGATGAACTGATTTTAAAACAAAATTAATAAATGAACTGAAATTAAAAAAAAAATTAATATAATAAATCGGTTTTATAAAAAAGTCCTTAAATAAATATAGAGTATGATTACATATTACTTACTATACACAAATTTTGATTCTTAAATAAAAGGTCTTATCCACTTCTTCAAGAGCTAAAATCCGACGACGTAGCGAAATTTTGCTACTTCTGGCAACACTGAACGATATACTACTTATAGGGACCTTCTACAAATTTCCTCCAGAGGGCGTATCACTTAGCTTGAATCGCGAATAAAGATCCTTCCAATTATATCTTCTCAAGGAAGTGTAGGATTTGGAGTGGCTTCAAGTTAGGTAAATCTTCCTCTTCTATTTGATAGGCTCCTAGGCATAGTGCCCTTGGATTCTGAAGTGCTACACATTTAGTTAGAATGTGAATGAAGATTTTTTCCTCCTCCTCACAAAATCTGCACTATCTTCTACTACTCTCAGTTTACCAAAGGTGTCATTTTAGTTGGCAATGTCCAGTAAGGATACCTGTTACAAGTGTTCTCACTACTAGAAAAATGTATATTATGATAACAGCTTAAAATACAATCTGGCTAATGTGGAACACCCCGAAAGCCTTGCCAGACTCGTCTAATGACCGTCAGGCGCGCTAAATTCGGCACGTTCGATTACTATTCCTCTCCTCGTTTAACTACCTGGCTTGTCAGGTCCGACCAAAATACGGTTTTATAACCGAAACAGAAACCAAATTTCGGCTCCTTTCTTAGTTTCGGCCGAAACAGAAACAAGAACTTTCTTTTAAGGCAATCTCTTATTGAAATTTGCAATATCTCATTGTAATCCTTGTTTTAGACTAATTAACTCGTATTATAAATTTTAGCTACATTTACTTATTACCTGTTTATTTATGTGATCAAAAGAAGTAATTAATAAATTTATTGACATGTTCACTTGAAACAAAGCAGAGAAGTTTGTGTGTACGTGCACTGTGTAGGAATGGCACCCGGCACAGTCGCCATTGTGCCGGACACAACCAATTGTGATACGAAAACTTTTAAAAGTAGTTTCGCTGTCGGCTGCAGTTTCGGCCAGTTTTCCGCCGAACCGAAACTGTAGTCGAAACTATTATTTAAAGCCAAAGTTGGCCGAAACCGTAACCGAACCTTCGGTCGGACACTACTTGTGAGTCTGGCAGGCCTCCGTAATTGTAATTGTCAGCCAGACGTGTATTTTCACTTACGAATATTTTGAAATTTATCCTAAGTAGATGGATAATGTTCTTAAAATATGCGTGAGTGTGCAAAAATGTACAGATAATAATTTAGGCACGTTTGGTATTGGGTAAGAAAGTTTTACACCAAAATATCCAAATTTCAAAACTTGACAGACATGCATTAAAACGACTAAAATCAAATTTTCAAAGCCATACCACAGAATATAAAACATATGTTTTATATGCTGTGGCCATTCCATGACCATTTGTCATATTTAAAGTCGTTTAGTTGACGCGAAAAACCTAATTATTATTTTACATAAAATAAATGTAGTGTATTTCTACCTAGTTATAATTGGTATTAAATAAAATATTAACCACTGAAATGGCAAATTTTTTATATGCATGAAAGAGCTGTTCAACTGTCAAAAAAATTTTCAGTATAATTTCGTTCAGGGTACCCACCAAAAGAAAAATTTCCGGAAATTTTTCTGGTTGTCATGAAAGTGTTTTAAAATAACAGCAGTTGATTGGCTATAAAATGGAGGTGTAAAATTATAATTTAATCTATCACGTAACAAATTTTCAAACCCGGGAAAATAAAAGCAAAAATATTATATTTTTTCCATTTAGAAGATATTACCAGACTCATTAGCCAATTTCGTAAATCAGGCAGACTTATTATTATAAACAGTTCATGATTGTATCAATTTATATGCTCAATTTTCTGCCACACTCACTTTCCACTATCTGAGATAATCCAAACTGCTATTTTTATAAGCTTTATGTTCTAGTTTGGTAAATGTAAAATAGTTATGACTGGGAAAATAAGTGTCAGACTCAAAAATTTTGTTTTTTGTCACTAAGAGAACAGTTTATTTTTCACATACACCGACTGGAAAAATGAATACGAAAAAAATTCACTGCCTCCTGAACTAAATGTAAAATTGCAGAATCAATCAAATGGCACGATTCTTTTTATTTTTTAATTTCTGTTCTGAAATGTTTGGGTGGATGTGCGATAAATGTTCGAATTATTTTTGGGGGGGCTAATTTGGTTTTTGGGGGGGCTTAGCCCCCCCTTAACTTCGCCCATGCTTGTTGGACAATATGACGGCGCTAGTGTTGTCAGGTCAATTAAATGGTTTAAAATCAAAGTAGCACCAGAAGCGGTGTTTGTTCATTGTTTGGCGCACCCAATTTCTGATCAGGCTTCAATAAAAGACAGAGCCAGGGCTATCTAAATATGTTTAATGACTTTGAATGTGTTCTTCTAGTTATAATTTTTAACGAAATTTTTTCCATCAGCGATGTACTTTTTGATGTATTGCAGAAATGTTCTTTAGATATAAATTACTGTGTAATTAAAAATGCGCAAAATCAACTAAACGCTAAAAGAAGTGAAGTTATTTTTGCAAATATAATTGATTCAGTTTTCCTAAGAAAAGAACTGCCCACTGAGCACCGTTATGGGCGCATAAGATAAGTCTTGACAAAAGATCAAGTAGTTCAAAAATATAAAATTCTGTATTATGAAATCCTGGACACAATTTTAGAACAAATCAACACTCGCTTTCAGGATACTGATATGCTTCAGTTCGTAACATTAAAGGACACTTCCAAATTTTCTGTATATTCGGAAAGCTTTCCTACAGAAGTACTAAATAATGTAGTTCAAATGTATCCTAGTAAATTAAATGACTTACAAAGGTTAAAAAATGAGTTACAGTTTATTTACAGTGATGAAAACTTTATAAATATTGACATTGAGATAAATTGTTGGAAAAACTATTTGAGAATCGTGATATTTTCAAAGAAGGTTATAAGGTATATCTTAACCATTTCATCCACTAGTGTTTCAGTCGAGAAATAATCTTCGCGGAAGCTGGTTTTATATTTTAAATTTGGTTTCGAGTGGTGTATCCAAGATATATTTGCAAATCGGAGGACTAAAAAAAACCTTGTGACATTTGCGAAATTGACCAATGAATTTGAACGTTTAAAGCTGCATTAGAATTTCAGTAAATAATTATATATTTTTAACTACGGGGGCTCTAGCAAATGTTTATAAACGGAAATAAAAATACGGAGATTCTTTGGAACGTGGAAATTAACTTTAAATTAAATACTTTATAATTAAATTAATGGAAAATTTAGTGATTTTGTCTGCTCAATTGGCAGAGCGCGGACGGCCTAAGTCCGAGGTTCCAAATTCGATCCCCGGTCGATGCATTCATTTTTTCTTTTAATTCTCTGCTGTTTCAATTTTTCTCTGGTTTGTTTTGACTGTGGGGACATAAGAGTGTAATTTTCATAATTTCGTAGGAGGAATTAGGGATTTTAATTTTTCTATATTTCCAAAAATTGCATTAGGTTTCGGATCTAAACCGATTTTCTCACTTCACTTTGTTTCATAATAAAATTTTATATTATACGAAATTTTCAACAGCGTACTATTAAATCTTCGACGTTTTATTTCGATTTTAAAATAGAGCAATGTTGACTATTTCTTTAGAGATTGAAAGTATAATGGATAACTATTATTACCTAAATATCAATTTTAATATCTACAGATTTTAATAAAAAAAACTGTTTTTGTAGATCAGAAGTGGAGATACACGTTTGTGATGAAGTTAAAAATGCTAAGAAAACGTTTTTTTGTAACCAAAATTTGCTTGTTACTAAAATGGGTTACTTTGCTGAAGTAACACAAGGTAAAATATTTGATGTTGAACATTAAATAAATAAAATTATTTATTTTCATTTATTTTTAATTTGTTTGATAAAACAACCGAAGTAAAATTTTAGATTTTATTTCCCTATGCAATTGATCAATTATTGAAAGATCAAACGAACTTACCTGAAGTGAAGTTCGATCTCAATTATATGAAACGCCTTGTTCGAGATGATCATAGGTAGTACCCCCCTTTCTCCGCTCTGTGGCCACGTATTTTAAAGTCTAAATACTATTTAGAAAGTTCAAAAATAACTGGTTGTCAGTCCTTCCTACCTCTGCTCCCGTCCCGTGGTAGTCAGATACACTCTTTTGTATCTGACTACCACGGGACGGGAGCAGATGTGAGAAGGACTGGGACAACCAGTTATTTTGGAACTTTCTAAATACTTTTGAAAGTATTTAGACTGTAAAATAAGTGGGTACTACCTATGATCATTGAGAACAAGGCGTGTAATATAATTTACATAATATATCGGGTGTTTATTGTTATTCAGTTATTCTTCTGTATATTAGAATTAATTTGCATAAAAGATTGTTTTGGTAATATTGTATAAATCGCAAAAACATTGTCTTGGGTACTTATTTAACTTTTTATTAAAACTTAACAAATAGAACAATTTATGAGATTATTTTTAAACCATGTAGGTCAACGTTTGGAAGATATGGACATTTCGGTGCATTGCGACATTGGAATTTTTGAATGGTTAATGGAATGGGTGAGAAAAGATTCCCTTCCAGAGGCAGAATGGCCTAAACTGGATTCTCAATTAGTCATTCCGATTCTCGTTTCTGCTGCGTTTTTACAGATGGAACCATTATTGGAAGATTGCTTACGATTTTGTCATGAACATATGAACGAAATATTGAGAACAACTACAAATTTATCTTGTTTAAATGATTCAGTAGTCAGTAGGTACGTATACTGTATAATTGCGTTTAAATCAAAACTATCTCCCTACTTGAGCCATACAATTAATTGAAGGGTATAATAATAGACAGAGACCGCTATCAGCGAGTATCAATACGATTTCGACCTTTGCGCGCCTCACTATATACATCTGACACAGATTGAGGCGCGACGATCGACAGCAGTCCATCTGTTATGTACACGTTCCTATTATACCATGTTCAATTGACTGTATGGTATATCCCCCGTTTATAAGGTACTGTACCTGTTATTATGTCGATTTTAATTGCCAATTATTCGATTTCTATAACGTTCAGGTTAGCTGCTATGTACACCAATGTTGAAATTGAAGCCATTAAGGACAAGAAGGATAAAATCCAATCTCGCCTTTTTTCGAAGCTTATTCAATCATTGGCAGAACCGGAACCTGAAATGCTTAGAGGACATTGGTGTTCATTGGCCAGAGTATTTCGATGCGAAAAATGCCAACTGCTGATTACTCCAAAAGTAGCCCCAATGATTCCCTGTATACCGCAATGTATGAGATTGCAACCGGATGGATCAGTCTTAAGTCTGCACGTGAAGTAGGTATTATTTGAGTATAATTATTCTGTATATAGTAGGTTATGTTTTATACAGGGTGATTGCTAAGTTGACACTTCTTTTCTAACTGTCTGTAGGTTATCAAAACAAAGTTTTCAAATAGCTTTTTTAGGGAGGCAGGAATACTAATCGGAGATTTAAACGCTAAATCCCCAATTTGGAATTGTAGACTTCGCAACACTAGAGGTAGAGTGTTGGAAATAATCTTGGCAAACGACCCTAGATGCTCGGTACTAGGTCCCGAGGAACCTACCAACTACCCTGATAACGGAGGGTTACCAGACGTTATCGACATTGCCGTGCTAAGAGAGTGCGATTTCCAACAGGAAATGTACTCTCTGCATGAAGGAGCAGGTGGACATAACCCGATCCTACTCATACTAGGTGACGGAGATGGCATCAACGCGCCCAGAACAGTGTCAAAAACAGATTTGGACAAATTCAAACGAATTTTGGCAGACAATCTAGGACCAATCCCAAGGATTGAGTCCTGCGAGGAAGTAGATGAAACACTCGAGCATCTAGAAACAGTCACGCAACAGGCATTGGCTGACAGCACAAGACAAATAGAGGTAGCGAGACATCAGTCAGGAACTGAAAGACCTAATAGTGCTGAAAAGACGCGCTCGTAAGAGATTCGGCGAAAATCGTACCCAGAACCATATTTGGTGTATTAATGTGCGTTTTAGGTACCATCACATATTGCAGGTTTCTCCCCTTTGAGAGTCCCATTACTGGGACTCGGAAAAGGGTATATCCTTCGGTAGGCAAGAGACGAGAACAAAAAGACAACTGACGACACACGTTGCACACTGTTGGCTCATTTGGTCACCATCAGAGGGGTCCAGATAAGCACTAACTGAGCAACGGACAACAACGCACCAACAAACCCTGAATGTATGAAAGAGAGAATGAATGCATAAGAGTTTTAGGTCCTCAACCGACTCTTATTAAATGACGATAACGCCTCAACCTTCACCGCTCAACCGAAAATATGGGGTGCCAATCAAATGCGGACCATGAGGACCAAGCAGCGGACGAAAAAGCTTGGGGGTGGATGGAAGGGTTTAGTAGGTTTCGATCCCGTTTAACAGGATGGGAACTTATTTGATTTGGGCCTATTACTGCGTGCGTGCGAGCTTTTTTAAAACAAAAATCACAGGGATTTAGGTCTGGTGACCAAGGTGGCCATGCAACTTGTCCATTTCGATAGAACCCTCTATTGGATAAGTATAAATTTCCGCAAAAAAAACGCACAAGAAGACTGTTGATTAAGTTTAATCTTCAATAACTTTAAGACAGATTTTGATGAAATTCTCGTCATTCGTTAGCAGTCAGTTTTCTTTAAATAACTAATATTATTAAACAAGGAAGGACAGAGTATAACATAATGTTTTAGTATACTTTATTTCATAGCTGGGCAGGGCTTGAGTGCTTGTAAAAGAACTTGAAGCACTTTGAGGGCTTGAAAGGACTATGCTCCAAGCCTTTTTATAAACTTGTAATTGGGGCTTATCAAGTCAATTACTTCAGAAAAGTGCTTGGTAATTTGTAAATAAAAAAAAATAATTTAAGCCCTTTCAATGAGCTTCAATTACTTTCAAAAGGCTTGAAGCACTTTTGGGAGCTTTAAGCAATTTAAAAGGGCTTAAATTATTTGAAAAAAAAAATTGTTGATAAAAAATGACTCTTGTTTTCGGTGTGTATCATTTATTTTTAGCCAAAGAATTTGTTTTAAGTTCCTATAACTTGTAATATAATTGACATCAATTACAACCTTTTTTGGACAGAATTCTCTATTGTTATTACCTAATTATTATAGTTTATAAAGAATTGAAAATTAACTTTTATCTACACTTGCTTTTTGTTTGTATTAAAAGAATATTATTTTCTTCTTGTAATAAACATAGGTAAATATAAATAAATAACAATATTGTTTAATTTTAATATTCTTATACTTTTATGTTTTATACAGCATTAAGCTGATGATTGAAGTACGTGGTAGATAATTTTATTACACATTCAAAGAGCTTCAAGCATTTTCGAAGTGCCTCAAGCACTTCTGAAGATACCTCAAGCACTTTTGATGTGCTTCAAGCACTATACAAAACACTTTGAGGGCTTTGTGCTTGGGAAGCACTTTCGAAAATAAAAAGGAATTTGTGTTTTTAAATGAAAGCACTTTGAAAAGGGCTTAGTGCTTCAAGACCTTTCACCATGGGCGAAGTTATGTCATCAGATCTGGGGGGGCTAAAGCCCTAGCCCTAGTCATATAATATATAATAGTTCTAGAGGTATACCTACTGAAGTTAAGTAAAAAAATTCTGGCGAATCTATGAAAATGGATAAAATATCATATATCGATTCTAAACAAAGTTTTGCAAAATTTCAATATTGTGAATTTGTAGATATCCATTTATGGTAAAAAACTAAATTTTACGACTTGCACTTGGAAAATAATGAATACTTCAGTTTTTATTTTGACATTAACACCATATAGATTGCAATTTGCTGGGGACTTTTTCGCAGATTTCATTTTTAACATAAACACTATCACATACTATAAGAAATAAACAAATTTAAAGCTAAAAAGTAAGAAAAACTCGAATTGTAATTGATACAAATTAAAATGTAAACAATGAACTCGTTGCCAAATGATGAACTGATTTTAAAACAAAATTAATAAATGAACTGAAATTAAAAAAAAAATTAATATAATAAATCGGTTTTATAAAAAAGTCCTTAAATAAATATAGAGTATGATTATATATTACTATACACAAATTTTTATTCTTAAATAAAAAGTCTTATCCACTTCTTCAAGAGCTAAAATCCGACGACGTAGCGAAATTTTGCTACTTCTGGCAACACTGAACGATATCCTACAAATTTCCTCCAGAGGGCGTATCACTTAGCTTGAATCGCGAATAAAGATCCTTCCAATTATATCTTCTCAAGGAAGTGTAGGATTTGGAGTGGCTTCAAGTTAGGTAAATCTCCCTCTTCTATTTGATATGCTCCTAGGTATAGTGCCCTTGGATTCTGAAGTGCTACACATTTAGTTAGCATGTGAATGAAGATTTTTTCCTCCTCCTCACAAAATCTGCACTATCTTCTACTACTCTCAGTTTACTAAGGTGTCATTTTAGTTGGCAATGTCCAGTAAGGATCCCTGTTACAAGTGTTCTCACTACTAGAAAAATGTTTATTATGATAACAGCTTAAAATACAATCTGGCTAATGTGGAACACCCCGAAAGCCTTGCCAGACTCGTCTAATGACCGTCAGGCGCGCTAAATTCGGCACGTTCGATTACTATTCCTCTCCTCGTTTAACTACCTGGCTTGTCAGGTCCGACTGAAATACGGTTTTATAACCGAAACAGAAACCAAATTTCGGCCCCTTTCTTAGTTTCGGCCGAAACAGAAACAAGAACTTTCTTTTAAGGCAATCTCTTATTGAAATTTGCAATATCTCATTGTAATCCTTGTTTTAGACTAATTAACTCGTATTATAAATTTTAGCTACATTTACTTATTACCTGTTTATTTATGTGATCAAAAGAAGCCATTAATAAATTTATTGACATGTTCACTTGAAACAAAGCAGAGAAGTTTGGGTGTACGTGCACTGTGTAGGAATGGCACCCGGCACAGTCGCCATTGTGCCGGACACAACCAATTGTGATACGAAAACTTTTAAAAGTAGTTTCGCTGTCGGCTGCAGTTTCGGCCAGTTTTCCGCCGAAACCGAAACTGTAGTCGAAACTATTATTTAAAGCCAAAGTTGGCCGAAACCGTAACCGAACCTTCGGTCGGACACTACTGTCTGGCAGGCCTCCGTAATTGTAATTGTCAGCCAGACGTGTATTTTCACTTACGAATATTTTGAAATTTATCTTAAGTAGATGGATAATGTTCTTAAAATATGCGTGAGTGTGCAAAAATATACCGATAATAATTTAGGCACGTTTGGTATTGGGTAAGAAAGTTTTACACCAAAATATCCAAATTTCAAAACTTGACAGACATGCATTAAAACGACTAAAATCAAATTTTCAAAGGTAGCCATACCACAGAATATAAAACATATGTTTTATATGCTGTGGCCATACCATAACCATTTGTCATATTTGAAGTCGTTTAGTTGACGCGAAAAACCTAATTATTAATTTACATAAAATAAATGTAGTGTATTTCTACCTAGTTATAATTGGTATTAAATAAAATATTAACCACTGAAATGGCAAATTTTTTATATGCATGAAAGAGCTGCTCAACTGTCAAAAACATTTTCAGTATAATTTCGTTCAGGGTACCCACCAAAAGAAAAATTTCCGGAAATTTTTCTGGTTGTCATGAAAGTGTTTTAAAATAACAGCAGTTTGATTGGCTATAAAATGGAGGTGTAAAATTATAATTTAATCTATCACGTGACAAATTTTCAAACCCGGGAAAATAAAGGCAAAAATATTACATTTTTTCCATTTAGAAGATATTACCAGACTCATTAGCCAATTTCGTAAATCAGCCAGACTTATTATTATAAACAGTTCATGATTGTATCAATTTATATGCTCAATTTTCTGCCACACTCACTTTCCACTATCTGAGATAATCCAAACTGCTATTTTTATAATCTTTATGTTCTAGTTTAGTAAATGTAAAATAGTTATGACTGGGAAAATAAGTGTCAGACTCAAAAATTTTGTTTTATGTCACTAAGAGAACAGTTTATTTTTCATATACACCGACTGGAAAAATGAATACGAAAAAAATTCACTGCCTCCTGAACTAAATGTAAAATTGCAGAATCAATCAAATGGCACGATTCTTTTTATTTTTTAATATCTGTTCTGAAATCTGAAATGTTTGGGTGGATGTGCGATAAATGTTCGAATTATTTTTGGGGGGGCTAATTTGGTTTTTGGGGGGCTTAGCCCCCCAAGCCCCCCCTTAACTTCGCCCATGCCTTTCACCAAGGGCTTTGTCCAGCTCTGCTTTGTTTTAAGGGCTCTTTTCCCTTTTCTTAATATTTGACAAGACTGTAATTACGTTGTTATCATTATAGGCTGTTTATCAAACTACTTTGAGTGTTGTTAGTTGTTGATACTTGTATTATCCCACTCAGTGTAGGAATGAATATCGCCATGACGGTTACAAGTTGTGTTTGGCTCCCGAGGAGGAAACCCTGCTAATAAAGTAAACTGTATTGTCATAAATAAAAAATAACGTACACATGTATGAGTTTCAGTTTCAGAAAAGAGGTATCGAAATGATTAAAACAAATAAGGCCTTATAACAAAATATCCCTTAATTTGATTCCTACAGGAATATTTAAGAAAATAGAGCTAAAAATGTAAACTTTGTTTTTTCTTGTATAATAGCAAAATAATGAATAGTTATCTAAAATATTATTATAAATTACTTTGTTATATCATTCCTTGACTTTTTAATTTTTAGCTAATTTTAAAAAATCACTAGTTTCTGAAAATATTAATTTCGTAGGGACCCATCTTGGAATATTAACACGTATATTCTAAAGCTGTACAAAAAATTGAAAACCTGGCGAAAAGTATATTGGAGACTTTGGGGTGATGCACATTTTCTGTTCTGCGGAGTCTGTAAGCGTTATTTTCCGGCCAATCAAATTGGGTGGTGTCGCTATCATCCGGATTCGGCGCAGTTTTTTACTGTAGATGCACAAAGGGCGCATTTGCCTATAGGAAGGTTCCCTTGTTGCGGTGAAAGGGCATATAAATTTCAGTTACTGGAAAATTTTAATGGTTGTCATTTTAGACAACATTTGGTGAGTATGGAATGTATTTAAATAAACTAGCTTATTATCTACCTAGTTAAACAAATCACTATTGTTCTTAATTTTAAAAAAGAATTTACTATTGTTTATATAGGAATTAAAAAATGTGCCTATTTATCTTGGCATTTTGTCAAACTTGCTATACAATGTGGACGATGCCAAGCACAATTAAAAAATCACCGACGAACAAATACTAGACTAATTTTGTTTACAAAAATCAAATTGCAAACAGAGCTGGGCAAAATACTTTTTAAAAGTATTTAAATACTAAATACTTCTTCATAAATACGATTATTTAAATTTTAAATACTTTTTTACAGCAAAAGGTATTTAAATAACAAATACCTGTATAATATAGTACCTACACACCCAATACACATGTGTGTAGTTAGGGTTGCATAGGTACTAGATCAGTAATAGGTGTTAGATTCTGACAGTAGACAGATAACCTACTTCTTGTTACAGGGCTACCTCGTGCCTGGTGTTACGTTAAAACTTAATAAAGTGATTTGAATAGTTAGAGGTTTTAATTATTCTAGTAGCCTACATAATACATGGTGTCAGGTGTGGGGTTATACTTTGATGACCTAATAGTCACAGGATCAACAGAGGCTGAGCATGACCAAAACCTAAAAAGAGTTTTAGATAGAGCATTAAAGTACAATATTAAATTTAATTATAAGAAAATACAATTTAAACAAAATAATGTAAAATTTGTGGGTCAGATATTTTCTCAGAAGGGAGTTCAGACTGATAAAAAATATATTCAAGCAATATTAGAAATGCCCACACCACAGTCAAAACATGATGTGTTACGATTTTTAGGCATGGTAAAATTTCTAGGTAAATTCATCCCAAATTTGTCAAAAATAACTGCCCCATTGCGTAACTTAACCAGGCTTGATGTAGAATGGCAATGGACTGATGAACACAAAAAGTCAATTGATAATTTAAAAAAGCTATTAACAAATTCACCTGTGTTATCATATTTTAATTCAAAAAAGCTCATAGAAATTGAAACAGATGCATCCAAGGATGGCCTAGGGGCATGCCTGTTGCAAGATGGAAAACCAGTAGCCTTTGCATCACGAAGTCTGACAAAAACTGAGCAACAGTATGCCCAGATAGAAAAAGAAACTCTGGCCATACTATTTGCAGTAAAAAAATTTCATCAGTTTGTCTATGGTTTTCCAATAAAAGTCCATAGTGACCATAAACCTTTAGAGTCGATTTTTAGGAAAGAACTTCAATCTAGCTCTCCTCGAATTCTAAGGATGAGACTTAAGCTATTAGGATACAACTTAACCATATGTTATAAACCAGGTAAACAAATGTATGTATCTGATACACTCTCAAGGGCGGTTATTAACCAAAATGGTCATAAACCAGATGTTGATATTGAATTTGCAGTTCATTTAGTTGTTAAGTCCCTGCCAATGTCGGAAGAGAGAAAAGAACAATTTAAAAAAGAGACGTTAGATGATCCTAACTTAATTGAAGTTACTAACTTCATTAACAATGGGTGGCCAAATCAGAAAAATAAAATACCCGACAGTATTAAAATATATTATAAGCTAAAAGAGCAGTTGCATATATGTGATGACCTTGTTCTTGTAGACAATAAAATAGTTGTTCCTCTTAAGTTACAGAGAGAAATGATCAAGTTACTACATGAAGGACATCTAGGCATAGAAAAAACAAAATCTCGTGCTCGAACTATATTTTATTGGCCAGGCATCACAGCTGATATTGAATCATACATTAAATCATGCCAAATTTGTGAAAAATATGCAAGAAAAAATTCGAAACAAACACTTCTACCATATCCACTTCCAAGTAGACCTTGGGAGAGAATAGGGTCAGATATTTTTACATATGGACAAAAAAGTTACATTGTTCTGTTTGATGCCTACTCTAATTGGTTAGAACTATTACCAATAAAAGACAAAAGTGCAGAAACCGCAATAGCACAAATAGAACCAGTATTTTCAAGATTTGGACCACCTGATATGTTAGTGGCAGATAATGTGCCATATAACAGTGAAAAATTTAGGGATTTTGCTAAGAAATGGAACTTTAATCTAGTCTTCCGAAGCCCCCATTTCCCTAGATCTAATGGTCTAGCGGAAAAAGCAGTGTCCATCTCAAAAAATTTGCTAAAGAAAACATTGGAAAATAGAAAAGAAGCAGATATACACTCAGCTCTATTAAATTATAGAAATTCTCCTCTTAAACATATGGGGTATTCACCTTCACAACTCCTGAACAGTCGGGTCTGCAAGACAAAGGTTCCTGTCTCAGCAGACTTATTGATGCCATCCTTGTGTGTAAATGTACAACAAAAAATGCAAGCTAAACGTGAGCTCAATATAAAAAACTTTAATAAAAACGCAAAAGAGCTCAGAGACCTGCAACCAGGTCAGAATGTCACAGTTCGTAACCATCATACCAAAACCTGGGAACCTGCTAAAGTGAATAACTATCATGAATTGCCTAGATCCTATTTGTTACAGGACTGTCATAACAACACTATTCGAAGAAACAGACAGGACATAAGACCATCTCAAAATCCTCTTCAGATAGTTGATAATCCTATTCTTGATGATAACTTTTCTAAAACTTCTAATAGTGTTGGTACTGACCAAACTAATAAGTTAGAATTATATAGACCTACTGTTGAACCTCATGCGCATGCTCCTTCTTTAGTTGACTGCTCTGACCAAAGTATTGACCCTGGATCAGGGTCAAGTAAAGTAGTAATAACCCGCTCAGGCCGTATTAGCAAACAACCAAATAAATTAGATTTGTAACTAGAAAGGGAGGATGTATAATATAGTACCTACACACCCAATACACATGTGTGTAGTTAGGGTTGCATAGGTACTAGATCAGTAATAGGTGTTAGATTCTGACAGTAGACAGATAACCTACTTCTTGTTACAGGGCTACCTCGTGCCTGGTGTTACGTTAAAACTTAATAAAGTGATTTGAATAGTTAGAGGTTTTAATTATTCTAGTAGCCTACATAATACAATACCTACAGTATTTAAATACTTTGTTTGGGGTAAATACACAAAAGTATTTAAATACTTAAAATTATTTAAAAACTATCATAATAATTGAACAATTATATTTTCTTAAAGGCCTCACCAACAGAAAAACATATTATTTTATCCTTTTAGTACGTTTAAAAATTTGATGTGTCAAAAAATATATACAGGGTGTCCAAAAACTCTGCACGAATGAAAAATAAGAAACAAATATCATATGAATATATGTCACAAACACAGCTTAAATACGAACTGATACTCCAGCACTTCATCCAGACTATTTCGCACGTTTGGTTTAATAACAAGTTGAAACTTGTTAAAACATGTTTTTATTTTTGACGTAAAAAGGTATTTAAATATCGGAAAAATATTTAAATACTTGAAATGTATTTAAATACCGGAAAAGTATTTAAATACTTGTAATGTATTTAAATACCAGAAATGTATTAAAATATCAGAAAAGTATTTAAATACCAGAAAGTCATTTAAATTCTTAAAAAGTATTAAGAATATTTTGAAAAAGTATTTAAATACTAAATACTTACGAAAGTATTTGCAACTGTAAATACAAATACCGCTCATCCAACAGTATTTAAATACTTTTAAGTATTTACAAATATAAATACTGCTGAGCTCTGATTGCAAACAATCACGATGTTATCCATATAGTTGTCAAATTATTATGAGAGTCTTTTTACAAGGATTGTTTACGATTATAATTGTTGGTATTGATAAGGCTCTAAAACGCACAAAATGCTTTCAAAGGAAGAAGGAAGTATATTTGCATTTTTAATGCCACTATCAGTTTAATGTATTTTTATCTTTGCAATTATTATAATTGAAGGTGATTTCCAGAAAATATCGCAATCCATTTTGAAATGTGACAGCAGCGTAAAGCAAGGTCGTAGACGTAAGTACTGATTCATTCATAAAACGCATGCTCTCTTCTCAGATAAACAAACTCGCACAAACCATCCCCACTCAAATTCGAAACCGTCTTTAATGCGGCAGCTGATACGCTAGCTCTGTCTGCGTAATATAAAATACAATCTGAATTGCAATAAATAAAGGCTTGATTATGAATGAATGGATAATTAGTCTAGTAGATTTTCGTCGTTGTATTTATGTTAAAATAATATAAAAAAGTATTTTTCATTTTTTATTCTTAAATGCACAAGAGAACATTTTGTAAAAAAAATTACACTTTCGCTATTTATTTTTATTAGACTTTTCCCATGTTTTTGATAATGTTATGTTATATGATAATTTATTATTGCCAAATAACTTATGGCAGTCTTTCGCCTTTTAAATATCATCGATAAAAATAATTATTTAAAATATGTGGTAGATAAGGTCGATGACGTCAAACGTTTTAAAAAGGTTTTTAAGGTAGTTCACTCGCGACAGTCGTAGATAAAAATATCGCATAATGGTGAATACCAAAAGTTCGAGATTCTCAATGCTAAACAATTGTATTTTTATAAGAGATATTTCAAATAAAATCCATCCGGCAACGTCGCAAATATATGAATGGTGCGCTATAGAAATTTGTGACTTCCTCATACTAATTTTAAGGGGTTCTTTTGGTTCAAACGGAACCGCTGATTTCAGTTCTCAAATACAGTGGACGAATTAATTTTTCAAGAATACATCGTGAGGTTATAACAACCTCTTAGTTGATCGAGTGTTATTCTGTTACCCGGCGTTAAGTGTAGGATTACAATGTTGCCAAATTGTAATTATTTTACGCAACTACCCAGACAGCACACCAAATCCTTTGGATATCTACTGAACATCCCAATATCCACTGAATGTCCAGTCCATGGTAGATATCTATTTTATATCCATGAAATGTAATTTATAGACATGCAAATGTCCATAAATAATAGTAATTATATAGCAAATTATTAAAAAATTACGCCATTGTGGCTAATAGTACCGTTCAGATATTTAAAATTAATTTTTTTAAGGTGTATTCAATATCCCATGAACATCCACTAAATATATCAAAGTCTAGGCGCGAACGCAAACCATCGTGGATATCCACTAGGTATTTGATTCTGCTTACTAAGTATAGATGGCGATACCACTACTCATACTCGACCCGCCGTAATTGAGTTCGATCGAAATGTGTGTCCTAATCACTCCATTAGAGACTGGAGTCGAGAATTTTCATTTATTGCTGAAAAGTCCTAATAAGGATGACTTTCTCCTTAGTGGGCAAAATCAAAGGCAGAGTGTTGAAAATATTTTTTATCTCTGCTATTTTCTTTCGACGTTATTCAATAATCATTGGTTACTTATGAACCTCTACTAAAGATACCCATAAAATATTTTGCTGAATATCCGAATATCTTCTATATCCTGGGATATAGACGGACATTTGGTTGGATATCCATATTGGATATATTGAATATCCACAAAATATATTCTGTGGATATCTCTGTGATTTCTTGTATTTTCTGGAAGATACCCATTAGATATTTTGCTGAATATCCATTAGGATATCTTCTATATCCTGGATATAGACGGACATTTGGATATCCATATTAGATCCACGGAATATTTCTGATATCCTGTGGATATATTGGATATCGACAAAAGATATTCTGCGGATATCTCTGGGATTTGGTGTGTTGTCTGGGTATAGTCGACAGCTTTAAAAATATTTTTATTTTAAAAATCTATATCTTTTTACTGAGACGGTCAAAAAATTCAGCGTCCTTTTAGAAAATTTTATAACTTCTTGATTTACATTACATTAGTTTTTAAAAAATATGGTAAGAACCGTTTTCGAGATATCTTGAAACAAACGCATTGCTTGTGTACCTGACAGGGTTCAAGAGTGTTAATTATGCACATTTTGATTGATAATATCTCGTTTCACAGACGGTCTAAAAATAACATTTTTTTTTGTTAGTTACGTAGAAGACACTTTCATCAACCTTATATTTCAATTTTATAGAATTCCTAAGAAAAGCCGTTTTACGAGTGAACTACCTTAACAAGCGATATTGTTCAGAAAATTCAAAATAAGCGATACGCCCTCTGGGGAATGCTGGCAAAACCGAATTAGTTTTGACCTCTAATCTTCGTATTAAAATGGATAATAATTAGGCACATGTACGTTCGCTCCGCATGACCAAAAAACATGTCCCATGAGAGATACCTACATATTTTTTGCAAGAGGCAAAAAAGTTACAAATGAATATCTCCATAAAAAAATTGATGGAACAAGGGGTCCTAAAAAAAATGATGTCATTTATTTATTTATTTATTAAATACACTATTCTACAAGTAATACCCAATTACAGAATAGGAAAATATGACAAAAATATTTAGACGAAACGTACAAAAATTAAAAATATTACAGGAAATAAAGTACAATGATGGTTATCCTAAATAATGCCTTTTGATATCCTGAATACTAATGTGAAATATATCCAATTCCTGACTTATCTGATTATAATTATTACACATATTATACAACGGTGAGTTCATTAAAATATTAGTACGAGGTGTTGGTAAGTAAAATGAGTCAGTATATCTTGAGGCTAGACGTGAAACTTTTAAATTAAGCATATGTAATAGACATTCGCAGTTTATTTGATTGCTTATGACCTTATGTAGCATAATTACAGAAAAATATTTTCGCCTTATATCGAGACTTGAAAATCCATGTTTATTTAATAAGGCGTCGTGTGGGGTGCCAATGGGTGGATAAACTAGATCATGTCTAAAACTTAAGTATTATAGGAATCGTCTCTGAATTCCTTCCAAACGACCAATGTGTACTTGATACAATGGACTCCATATAAGTGACGCGTATTCAAGCTTGGATCGAACAAAAGCATTTTATGGTATCTACTTTCTTAAAATCACGACTGTTTCTGATTATGAATCCATATGTACGATTAGATGAGGATGCGATACTATCGACATGGTCAGTAAAAGAAAGTGCTGAATCAAATAGGACTCCTAAATCGGCGAAGTTTTTTGGTCTGTTTAAGGGAGTTTCATCAACAATATACTGGTAAAAAGTTGGATCTGACTTTAAGGAGTACGACATTACATTCCACTTGGCTGGGTTTAATTTTAAATTATTTCTATGGCACCATTCATTAACTCGTTTTAGATTTTCAGAAAGTCGCTCGCAGTCAGCAATACTATTTATGGAAGCATAAATTTTAAGGTCATCAGCATACAGTAGAATTAAAGGTGGTTTTTACCCTTCCATCATTTCAGTAGGTGTAATTTTTGCTTTGAAAAATGACTCTTCAATTAAAATAACTACATACCAAATTTTATAAAAATTGAACGAGGCGTTTTTAAGTTATACAGCGATCAAAAATTGATCCGAACTATTCTAAAATCCCTCTCCCTTAAATGAGAGAAAACGATGGAAGCGATTTTCCTAGTACAGAGCTTGAACGGAAAAATCCCTAAAAAAACAACCTTACACCGTTGCCAAATATCCAAAGTAAAACTTACCACTTTAAACTTTAAATGCCAGACTTTATTTTCCAATTTTAACTACCTAGACATTATTTTTAATAGACAAAAATTTGGCAGGGTGTTTCTTTTATCATATATTTTGGATATTGTTCATTATTTATGTATTTTCACAGAAGTAGTCCCCATGCTAGTATTATTTTATCTTAGATCGTATTATTTGCCGGTTACAGTCCATGGTGATGATAAATAGAGTTAAAACAATTTTTTTGTAACCATTGGTTTGGAGAAAAAAAATTATCTGTGCATTGGAAGATCGGTTTCTTTTGATATAATCATAATTTTGAAATTTGTAATTGCGTAATTGGATTTTAAGCTTCTCGCTGGTTACACGGAATTTGACAATTTCGCTGGAACTACCCTTATACGAAGTGTATAGTCCATCTATATGAGTCACCTATATATAAAATATAATGCATTACCAAAAAGTAATATTTAAACTTTATTTTCAAGGTGCAATAATATTTGTTCGTATTTTTAATGCAGTCATAAAAAAAATTGTTAATTTCTGAACCACCCTGTAATTAACCAATTTATAGAGTATTTTTTTGTAAATTATTAATGCCAAATAAACTGTAATTCGTGTTTCCTACAATAAACGCGAATAAAACAGTGTTATGGGAAATCTGGTTACAAAAAAGTGGTATTTCCGATGTTTAACACCCTGTACCTCGAAAACTAGTCATAGAATCGGTTTGGGCCAATAGACATTTTTTGTCAGAGCATCGAGTTTTACAACACATCAACATGTCAGAAAATTTCACGGAAAGCCATTTTTTTAAAGATTTTTTATAAGGAATTTCAAATCTGTGGGACTATATTTTCTAAGGCCTTTTAATTTTGTTAGTTAAGTCCAATATAAATATGCATACTCTTTTCATGAGTTTAATCACCAAATACTAAAGCACGTATTCCAATCTTTGAATGGGTTATCTTACATCACAAGAACATTAAAGGTGCATTGGGTAAAAAATGTCTTACCTATAAAATTTTCATTTAGTGACTTAACTCATATTGGCTCTAAGATGCCAATATAGATTGTTCTTTTCATAGGTTTACAATGATGATTTAAAAGATTCTGCAATTTTCTCCATGTTGGAAACATACAGACATTTAATAGAAGAAGAACCGCCACAACTGTTATTTCCTGAAAAATTGACAAGACTAGTAGCAAGAGGTAAGTTAAATAAAACATATTAAACATTGTTTAACTCAAAATCTAATTAATAGTGAGAATAATATAAATATAATTTTAATAGGCCTATTTTAAATAACAATATTTTTAAAGCATAAATAAAATGGTACTAGACTTTTAATGTTTTCTTAAGCATATAATTTGTGTTCTCATTCTTGCCCGACATTGTTTAAGTATGTCCTGTACTAACGTCATTTGTGCTCCATCTAAAACAGGGATGTGCGTCAGCGCTTCTTTAAAGTGCCCGTGTGCATTGTCAGACATATAATCTTTAAACATTTCCTGTAGTGCTTCTATGTCAACCTTAGCTTGTTGTGCACCTTCTTTACTGAATTTCTGAACACAAGACATTAATCTGTAGAGTTCTTCAGCGATTGTCTCAACAATCTTAACTAATATAGTATCTAGAAGATTGGTAGATATGTTATTAATTTCAGAATGTACATTTATTAGATTATTTATACATTCTTTTGCATACGGTCGAATGTCTGTAGGTGGTACATTAATGTCCCAGTCAAAACGACCCAAGTACATTGAAGGTTCTATAGTACCAACAAGAGGATCGCTTTTTTGCTCTAAGTACCTATCTAGAATCGATTTTTCCAACATTTCTAGCTTGTTCCTGTTAACTCCTATAGGTGTGTCTACTGAGGAGAATCCAGTTTCTCTAAACTTTGTAGCAATGTCATTTAAAATTGTATTTTTGGTGAATATACAGTTAGATAATGTTATGAGCAGTCTATGTTCCCATGTTGGAATGTCATGAATAACATCAGGTTTCTGCGATCCTACAGGGGTTCCAATTAATTGAGAAACGACAGGAGAATTATCATCACAATCTTCAAAATCTTCAGTAGAGGACAAATTATTCAAAACCATGTAAAAAGCAGATAAGATATTGTCTATTTGCTTTTCGAGTTCTTTTTGAGCAGACACATTATCCAATAAAGTAGTTTCTCTTTGTTCTGCCGACAGGGCAGATTCCTTGACTATTTGAATAACATCCTCAATTAATCTCAAAAATTTTAAAGGAAGTTCAGTTACGCCAGTGTATTTACCACTAAAGCTTATTTTCCAGTTTTCTGATAAATGTTTTATCTGTTCAGTGGTTTGTTGGAATAAAATACTCATGCAGTGAATTCTTAGGTCTACAAGTAGAGCGCTTACTATATCTAATGCTTCATTTGGCAAATCTAATTGAATTAGAGTGGAATAAGTAGAACGTACTGATCGCAGAAGTTCAGGGAGATAAAGGGAGATCTCATCACGCTCCAGACTACTTAACGATCCATACTGAGTACGGTCAGATTTGTCTAAAGTGTTCGGTATAATACTGGCACGAATATATTTTGAATACGAATCAATTGCAGTTAATACCATGTGTTTATATTCAACCTAAAAAGAGAGAAGTTGGTAAAATCTTTAAAAATAAGAATTTATAACATCGATATTTTTCATTAGATTAATCAATAATAAGAATAAGAGTGGTGGTATATCATCTAAAATTTAGAAGAATTAATAACATATTTAATTCTAAAAACATTAACAGAAACAACATGATACTCAAAAATTTACTTCTGAAATTATGTTAGATGTATTTAGGAAACGTATTTGTTGTAAAAATAATTATTTTATAGCAGGGACACAAGTTGAAAAGGCTTTTGCCAGTTCTCCCACTTCACGCACAGGATTAGACAGTTTTGACGTGGAGCTAACCGAAGTGAATGTGAAACATTGGGCGTAGAAAATTATTTTATAGAGGCTTATAAAAATTTCATGTAAATAAATTGTGAATAGCTGTCGAAATTTTGTAGAATTGCGAATTGGGATATTATTACCTGTTTAAATAATTATTTTTAGCCCATAAATAGATACGTTTGCCTGATTCTGTAGGTACTTAATAAATTAAAATGTTTGATACTATTTTTATTCTTTGAGACAACTACGGCAGTCGAAATTCTCGAAATCGTCGGATGAAGTTTGACATTTACCGTCTCTCTAACTACCAAAAGCCTTTCCAACTTCTGTCCTTGCTATACCGTCATTCTTACCTGTCTACCAGCCTCAATCTTAACTTGTAATTCACCAGAAAAATAAGCTTGACCAATTTTCCACAAATCTGGGAATAACTCTGAAGTAACTGCGCATATTTCATCTGTAAAGTTGATGCAAGCAGGAACCGATATCACCTCAATTTGTAATTTTGAATATTTAGAAGCAGAATTTTGTTTTTTGGAACTTTCCAGTTTATCAGTGTTTTTATGAAAATTGTATATTTCTTTAAATTTCTTGTTAATATATTCCCATCTACTTTTTATGGCATCCCAAGCAGCATCAAATGGACAATCTAGATTTACTAAATAGCGAATTAATCTTTTTTGTTGGTCAACAGTAATAGGCATAGTTTGTAAGTCAGTATGCAGTTTATTTTGCAACTCTACTATGCGTTTTTCTACCTCATTTAGAGCTTCTCTGAATATAGGAACTTCTGTTTTATCAAATAGATTTTTAACACGCATATAGTCATTAATAACTATATCATATTCTCCCTTTTTAATGTTTTTTTCTATAACACAAGGAAGGCAAAATAGAAATTTATATCTTTGCAATACATTTAAAGCATTTCTAGTTTTTTCAGCTCTATCTTTTCGAGATAAAACATCATCAAAAAGTTTTCTAGCTTCTCTTTCAGATTCTTTAATAGCTCTTTCAAGTTTAATTGTTGGTGTACTTCCAAAAACTGATAAATCTTTCTCGTACCTTTCCCTTAGGTTCATTAGGGTATCAATTTGATCCATAATGCTATTTAAATTTGCTTTTAAAAAAGACAATTGACCTTCCTTTTGACTGTGTACTTTTCTGGTCAAATAAACAAGGCCAGCCTTTATGTCATTAAAACTTGTGGCCTGATGGTTTTCAAGAAGAAACCAAGCTGGTGAAAAATTTTGGCTACCAATGTCTCCACACTTACCTGAAAGAGTTGTGAAAGAAGTTTTGTATAATGCAGGAATTTATGAATAATGATATAATTTATAGGTAATTTAAGGGTTATTTGTGAGCAAGTAGCAGATATAACTTATAAAAGCAGAAATACACAGACCACAATGTGAGGTTGCTGTCAACTACACTATGCAGTCACATTTTTAACTGACTTCAAAAAAAGGAGAAGGTTCTCAATTCGTCGTAATATTTTTTTTATGTATGTTCAGTGATAATTCTTTAACACAGTGTCCGATTTTAATGATTCTTTTTTTATTAGAAAGTGGTCCCATATTAATTTGGTTAAAATCTAATAATTGGGTCCATTTGAAAATCCTAAAACTCTTCATTTTTAATGTATGTTTAGCGGTAATTCTTTACCACCTTGTCCAATTTCTATGATTCTTTTTTGTTAATAAGGGGGTACCTCAGGGGTGGTCCCATATAAATTTGGTCAAAATCTAATAATTGGGTCCATGAGAAAAATCCTCACTCTTCATTTTTTTATGTATGTTTAGCGATAATTCTTTACCACCTTGTCCAATTTCTATGATTCTTTTTTTGTTAGTAAGGGGGTACGTCAGGGATGGTCCCATATAAATTTGTTTAAGATGTAGTGACGGCATCTGTACGATTTAAAGTCGGTTTTTTAAAATTAATTTTAATACTTGTGGCAAACCAGTTTCTTAGACACACATCAATGTGCAGTCAACAATAGCAGAGCTTGCTGCTCTTTGACTCGTGACTATTTTACTCTATAAGAAACTGGATTGCCAAAATGTGACTGCATAGTACAGTCAACAGCAACAACACTTTACCCACCCTGAAACATTGTATAAAGAAGAAAATAGAATAAATGTTAAATAGATAAATACCAGGAAAATATAGTTCTAAAATAAGTAAAATTAAGTATTAGTTTTGGTTTGTTTTGTGTTGTGGTAGGAATCAAAGGAAAAAAGAAAGTGTAATTTAATTTTAATAGAAATCAACAATTCAGATGATATAAAAGAAATTTCGTTTTGTGTTGATATAGGGAAATTTTAAAAAGTATTTGTAATAATTTTGATCTTGTATTATTCCAGTCATAGTAACAAAAACTTTCTGGGGGAGGATTCAACATTTGTAGAACATTAATTAAAAAAAAACTATTAAAATATAAACAAAATAATAAACACTTTTTCCTTCTACTTCTTTCTATACTCTCTTTTCAAAAGACTGATATTCTTCAGCTTGTCTTCATAAAATAATGCTTGATCTAACATACGCCTATTTTAATTTTAATTTTCTTTCAACTAACTACAAAATACAAATTATCTTATAATACCTCATATATTTTTCTTAAAATTTCCACTTAACAAAATAAAATAATCCCAAACAACCTGACTTTTAAATTTTTAATGTTTCTAAACTCTAAACACCCAAAGATTGATCAATCAATTTTGTTTTGCCAGTTTCTATGAACTGCTTTGGGCTTTTTCTGGTAATATTTTTAAGATTAATTTTTTCTGTTCACAAAAAATGATTAGGTATGTTCTGAAAAATATTAAAGATTTTTGAAAAATATTAACATAACAGGAATACCATGCAATCAGCCTCAAACATATTTTTTAAGTTTTATAAGAAGTATGCTTACCAGGAAAGTAATTTTGAAGCTCCTCTTCACTTATTTTATTTTCAGTTTCCTCTACAGAGAGGCCTAGTGGGTCCTCCTGTTGAAAACTACTTGGACTTAAAGAATGACGCCCCCAAGAATACATAGGTGTTTCCTCCACCCATACTGCACTCTCTTTCATAGGTCCTATGGTCGCTAGGTGATAGCCTCTGAAGGTTACATTACAAGTGCCAGTGCCTCCATATTTTGTAGTTACAATAACGTCCCCTTTACCTTTAATTGGACCTGAAAAATATTTTGCTAAGCTTCTAAATCAAAAATATTTTTTATAACTCGCATATAATACACTTGAATCAACTAAAATAATGTTTTAGATGAGACATTTCATTGTTGTCAAGTGTAGTTTTGTTCTCTTCCTATTAAAAATATAAAATAGTTTAATCTGAGATATTACCTACACATGTTTTTTTGTAATAATATGATGGAATAGTTAGTTTTAAACTGTGAATAAGTGATGTTATGTTTCTTTGACTATTAGAACTTATCAATGTTTTCTCTATTTAGTTAGTTTTATGGTAAGTATTCCAAACAAATGCAACTTACCTGATATAGCTATTATTTTGTTAGGAGACTTCCATTCTGCAGTTAATAGACAATCCATGCCACATATTGTAAGACCTATGAGATCACCTGGTTGAGAACCGAAATTTTCACCTCTGATTTTAATTCTAGTACCAGGAGCACCCTCATTAGGAGATAACCCCGTTACTATTGGGGGCGGTGCCATATTGTGTTTCAGTAAACTATTGCTGTTGCAATAACATTAGCAATTTTTTACAGTTTATTTTTTTTAAATAAATATTCTTATATCTGTAAATCTAGTTTTTAAAACATTGTTTATTAATATTAATAACACAGATTGATAAATAACATAAATAATAAAAACATAACCTAATTTTTTGTTCTTCTTTTTTTTTTTATCGTCGTACAATCGCTGGTCTCTTTATTAATAGGTGACTGGGAAATTTAAATATGATAAATGCTTAAGAAGAATAGGTATTTTTAAAGCCGTATGAAAACGAAGCAGATTTTAACCTAGCTAATTACAACTGAAAAAATTGTGTGACTGTGACTGATAATATCAATCAATTTGGTAAATCAATCAACTAGAAATGGGGAGCACAAAACCAATATTTCGAGATCTTAACCCAGATGATCCCGAATCAGAAACTACAGAAATAGAATCCCTCTGTATGAATTGTCACGAAGATGGTATAACAAGGCTCATGCTAACCGTTATTCCATTTTTTAAAGAAGTTATTGTAATGTCTTTTACTTGTGATCATTGTGGATATCAAAATAACGAATTACAATCTGGAGGACCCGTTGCCGATAAAGGGGTGAAAATTAATTTTAAAGTTTCAAGAAGCGAAGATTTAAATAGACAAGTTGTAAAGAGTGATTATACAAGTGTAAAGATTCCAGAACTAGATTTTGAAATATCTTCTAAAAGCCAAAGGGGCGAAGTTACTACTGTGGAAGGTATTATTGATAGAAGTATAAAAGGATTGGAACAAGACCAACCTGTTAGAAAAATAGAACATCCAGATGCTGCTATTCAAATTGAAGAATTCATTAATAAATTGAAAAAGTTAAAAGATTTAGAAAAACCATTTACATTAATACTAGAAGATATTTCAGGTAATCATTCATTTACACAAATTTCTATGGTTCTTCTCTAGGACCCCCAAACTCAATGAGTGGAGGCACTGCAGCCCTCAAACGTTGTAATCTTGTAGTTTAGTGTCCTATTAATGCGCATGTCCACTCCACTCTGCACTGATTTTTTAGAATTTGATATTTATACCTGCCATGTTGACATACGTCAATTCTTGTTTTGCTATTTGTTTTTATCTTCTAATTTTGGGGAATAGAAAGTCTATGGGTTCTTTCACAGTCATCAAAATGGTGATGGTAAACAACAAATGTGAAACAGTTTTTTTAAACTGTTAAAATGTAAAAGCTCAAATTAAAGTCGATTCTATGCTAATATATTTCTGAGCATGTGGAAAAGTTCTAAATATGTCCTATTTTTAAAAGTGGTTCACAAAACGAAATCATGAATTATAGGCCAATATCCTTAAAGTTTTTCGAAGGTTTTCGAGATAGCAATTTATAATATGATATACCCTAAGGTAAAAAATTTAATCTATATCCAACAACATGGTTTTATGTCCAAAAGATCAACTGCTACAAATGTATGTTCCTTTACTCAATATGTCTGCCAAACTATTGATACACTTTACAATAGCCTGATGAGAAGTGTTCTGGAATACTGTTCTGTTATTTGGTAACCTGTTATATTAATAGAATTGAAAGGGTGCAAAGTAAATTTGTAAAATACTTGCTCTTTAAACATCAATTTCATAGCCATAACACATGTCATCAAACAAGATATAACAGGTGTTACTCCTATTCCTGGCAAAATTTATAGGTGGTTCTATCAAGTGCAAGTCACTACTTGAAAGTGTTCAACTATTGGCTTTTGCCTGACAGATTTTTGGCACGGATCACTTAAAAAAAAAAGAACTAATTTTACTTGGACTGTGATATATTTAGTTGTAATATTTTAGTGCTAAAAAGTAGTTTTTTAGTGTTTTTCCTTTCTTAATATCTGATATTTTTTAATTCTCATTACAGTTGTTTGTGTTAGGTTAGATATACTGTACTATTTAGAAACTATTTTTTATATTCATGTAATATGAATAAAAAAGTAAATTATTTTAAATTTCAACTGTTCATTGTTTGTTCACCTGCATTACAACTGTTTACACGAAGTGTAGAAACATATGATTCCTATTCAAATGTTCCACAAAAAAAAATACACCAACATAACTAAAATTATTTTTTATTCATTTCTAAAAATTTTCCTTGCCCTCGAAAAATGTTTGACAGCATCATTGATGACTCAAATTTGTTTTTTACTAGATTTGAAATATTACTATTACATAGTTTCCAGAACTATGTAAAATTCCGATTGTCAGAATAAGTTGGAACAGCAATGGTGAGGATATGCACATTAGTAGGACACAAATCCTTATGGCTTAGTGTACCAACATTTTAGAGTACTGCTCACTTATTAATTTTGACACCCCTCACACCATATTATTTACTATATTTCATTTCAGGTAATAGTTTTATAGAAAATCCAAATGCTCCAAGGGTTGATAAGGATTGCAGCATGACTTATTTTACTAGAAGTAAAGATCAAGACCATACTCTTGGTATTTTTACTCAAAGTGAAATTGCAAATGAAAATGAAAGTGGTATATTGGAACCTGTTCAAGAAGGAGAGTTTACTTTAGAAGATTTGGAAGGAGAAGTATTACAGTTTCCAACAAACTGTCCTTCTTGTAATTCTCCTTGTAAAACAAACATGAAAATGACAAACATTCCCCATTTTAAAGAAGTAATTATAATGGCTACAAATTGTGATGTATGTGGGCATAAGACCAATGAAGTCAAATCTGGAAGTGGAGTTGAACCAAAAGGTCTTAAAATAGAAGTTGATATTAAAAATCAAGAAGACTTCTCTAGAGACTTATTGAAATCAGATACATGCAGTTTAAGTATACCTCAGCTAGAACTAGAAGTGGGACCTCATGCCCTAGGAGGTAGATTTACTACAGTGGAGGGACTTATAATTGCTATTAAAGATCAACTTAGTGACCCTAAACACTCCCACATGTTTGGAGATTCAATAGATCCACAAGCTAAAGGTCAATTTCAATCATTTTTAAAAAAGTTTGATAATATTCTTGCTGGTCTAATGGAAGTTACTCTGGTTTTGGATGATCCAGCTGGTAATAGTTATGTTCAGACAATGAGAGATGATGGTCTTCCAGACGAATGCTTAAGAATAGAACATTATGAACGAAACTTTGACCAAAATGAAGAGTTGGGGTTAAACGATATAAAAACTGAAGAGTATGAAAACGTATAGGTTATGCATATATTGTATAGTTTATGTATTTGTTAAGTAAATAAATATTTTTTGTTAATACATTGAAAGTTTTATTTTTAAGTGAATTTTTTTAACTTATAAATGCAAACTTTTAAATACCAGATAGCTTATATTCATAGCATTATGTAAAAAATAATATTTATGAATATACTAAAGACTAGAGAACATAATATACTTTTATTACTAGATTACTGATTTTTGATTTGCTTTAGTCGTAATTGTCCACTTGAGATTTTTAATGAAACAAATTTTATTTTAATTATTTCTTTACATAAAACTAAACAACTATACAGGGTCAAATCAAGGATCAAAGTGTGCTGATGGAAGAAGTTATCTGCAATCAGGTTAATCAATTCTGTTTAGGTACACTTTCAAAAAAAGTATATTCCTAAAATTTATGACATGGGTTTTGAAGGTACGCCAATAAAAAGTCAAGGTTCTACTGTCTACAGTTTTTTAGGAATTATTTTGCAAAAATGGTAGTGTCAAAATTTTAGACAAACGCTCTCGGACACGGTTTTTGATTTGAGTGAGATGGGGACATCTTCCTATTATTATCATATATCCTTAACTGTTATATGTCATTTCTTTCCCTTTCGTCATTCCAACCAAACAATTAAATTGCTAATAATAGCTTTCAAATGAAGTGTCACACTTTACAGTATGTAAGTTATTTATCCAGCTAGAGGGCATTAAAATTAAAAGAAACTTAATAATGAATAGTCAAATTGCTTCTACATAAAATAACCTTTTTTTCAATGATGTGTCATACTTGGCATTTTCTCTATTTAAATTGTATTGGGGAGGGGATGACGTTTGGCAGTTGATAACATTCTAGAAAGATATGGTTCTGTTACGTTTTCGTCTGGCCATCCTGCACAGTTTTTTGATATCAAATGACCCTCGTTTGATCCATAACTTATGGGACACTATGTGTATCACATGCTTAATGTTATAGGGAATATTAGTGATGACGTGCTAATTGTTAAAGACCGGACATTTTAATCGCGTTCAAATAATTGGTTTTAATCACATAGGCGTCTCATTCTGGGTTCGCTATTTAAGACGGCAGACAGTGCGGCAGATTCTAATACTATCAGGACAAACCTCTTTTTTTTATTAAAACAAGATAAAAAAAGTGTACTGATATATACATAGACATTAAAACTAATACAAAAAAGTGAGATTTTTTTTTATCGTGTACCTATATTCTTTGTCTTTTGAATCATTTTCATTAAACAAATTTAATGTTTTCTTCTCACCAACGCCGAGGATATGTAGGATATTTTACAAAAGTTTTTAGTAACCTCAGATCCTTTAATTTGTGGCCTGAGAAATTTTCCTTAAAAAAAAATAACTTTTTTGATGAAGATGTTAAACTTTTCATAAGCGAGTTTAAGGTGTAGTAATGTAAACGATATTCTGTATGATATTTTTTTTATTATTATCTCTTATATAATTACAAAATATCTATTCCTCAATATTTTGGCGTGGTACACTACTCTCCTGCCTAAAATGAGGATCGAGGACCCCAGCTGCCTCCCCCGAATTTGTTATTTCCTCCAGAAAATTGGAAATTTCTAGCCTTAGCTGGTCCCGATTCATTGTTGGAGAAATTGCATCGGGGCCAAATATTAGGACTCTACGAGCGTTTGGACTAAGACGCTGTAGAGAGGGCCTAAAATGAATGTCAAATAGGCCCATCATATGTTGTCTTATACTTTCTCGATCCATTGTCGGTTAGTTGCCGGTGATATTTTTATTCAAATAAAGTCAATCCTTATATTATATTTATGAATATTTTGGCTTTTATCGATACCGTACATACCGATTTTTTGTAACAAAACATTTATGTTTTTATTTCCTGTGGATATTATGGTACTTATACACGATGAGACAATAAAATAAATGTCTGTTAAATTTTTCTGTAATGTATGTATTAATTCAATTGCTCACTCTATATAGGTATCTGTTGGTTGAAAAAATGTAAAAAGATAACAAAGAGTCGATAAACAGGAGATTTGAGAAGAAAGTGTCTTGTAAAAATATCACTAGATTTTTCCAATGAGTATCTTTGTTTAGTTCAAAGGGAAAAGTGATAGAAACTGGAAACGTAAATATGGAAAATTTATTATCGGACTTTGATTGTTTTCGTCGTTTTAATGACAACAAATTATACTGCCGCAATTGTGATCAGGTGTTAGTTTTTAATGGAAAGTCAAGTATGACACAACATGTGAAAACACAAAAACACATGCAATCTTTAGAGGGATGTCCAGACAAAATCTTTTATGAAGATTTATGCAACGCATTTGTTTCTGCAAATATTCCATTAACAAAATTAAATAATACAATTTTCAAAAATTTTCTTTGTAAATATACTAAACGTAAAATACCGGATGAATCCACAATTAGAAAACATTATATTCAAAATCAGTACGATAAAGCAATGACGGCAATAAAAACGAAAATTTCCAGCAAATATATTTGGGTTAGTGCAGATGAAACGACTGACATAAAGGGTAGATGTGTTGTTAATGTTGTTGTAGGATTATTAAGTGCTGAAAATACTTCACAACAGTATTTAGTTTCTAGTGTGTTTCGTGAAACTGTGAACGCTGAAATGATTTATGAAATAGTGAAACGTGGATTGAACAATGTAATTGATAATGACGTTTCAAAAGTTTTATTGTTTATTTCAGACGCGGCAAGTGTAATGTTGAAAACAGGGAAACTATTACAAGAACATTTTCCAAACATGCTGCATGTAACTTGCCTTGCTCACGCGTTACACCGAGTTTGTGAGTTTATCCGTGACAGCTTTCCAGACATTAATTCGTTGATTAGCTGTTTTAAAAAAATTTTGTTAAAAGCACCGTCCCGAGTTTCTTTATATAAAGAAATATGTCCGAATATCCCCCTACCTCCACAACCAGTTATTACACGATGGGGAACTTGGTTACAGGCTGTGTTCTTTTTTTCGGAGCATTTCGACAGACTAAAAGTATTTATTTCCAACTTATCAGAGGACGCTCTCTCTATCACTCAGTGTAAAGGTTTAATAACAAAAACAACTTTGCAGTTGGAGTTAAATTTTCTTGCGACTTATTTTTCGTGTCTCCCAGAAACTATAAAATTCCTTGAAACCCGTAACTTACAATTATCGGTTGCTATGGAAAAATTTGAATCGACATTGTTACACTTAAAAAACGTAAAGTGGCCCTTACAAGATAAATTTAACCATAAAATAGATTGTGTTATTAAAAGAAATCCAAATTTACAGACTCTGAAACAAATCTCCCTGAACAATTTTAACGATTATGAAACTGCTTTAAAATATTGTGATTTTGTTCCACATTTTTCATTTGCTCCTGTAACGAGTTGTGACGTAGAACGATCGTTTTCTAGGTTTAAAGATTTATTGACTTCTAAAAGAAGTAATTTCACTGAAGACAATTTAGAAAAATATGCAGTCATACAAACATATTTTTCAAATGAAGAAGATTGATATTAATTTGTATTGTATATATTGTATATAATTGTATATTTGCTACTTTAGGATAAAGAGTGTATATTGGAACACTCTAAACATAAAACTAATGATGGTGTATCCTCGTTGATATATTTATTAGTCAATAATATATTAACAGAAAAAGCCAACAACATTATCCCACAACACAATAAAAAAATAAATAATAATATCATTTGTAATTATATAATAATATCCAACCAAATTTGAACTAAAATTTAATAAAATAATTATTGCAATGTAAATGTAATAATAAGCCCGCCCCAAATGTTACGCCCGGGCGATAAAAATCCAATATCTTATCTACTGTGTCGACCAGTTCAGTAAATAACTTGTTTTATTCAGAATGTATTATTCAAATCGAAGGTCCGCTCTTACCGTTACTTCGCTGATAAGAATAAATTAAATTGTCCGGTCTTTACTAATTGTACAGAACCCTCTAAACCAGAGTCCAGTTAGTTTATCGACGAATTTGAATTAATTTATTTTTAGGTTTTCTACTTTTTATTATAATTGCCGTCAAAATTAAGGCCTCTATTTATAAATTACGCATGCTTAACGTTCTACAATTTTTTTTGTAAAGAAATGCTATTTTTGCACTCCTCAAGGAGTGTAAAACTCGTCCCTAAGCACTACCCACTAAAATTCTACATTTACCGACGTCCCGGAATCGTTGATAAACTTGCAATCGAATCCATCGATTGTCAATTTACTTGGTCATCCAATTATCTCTTCCCTTTTCTTATTTTTCATGACTTTACAATCCAACCCCCTCTCGTTCTCAACATATTGTTCCAGCAATAGTGTCCCTCGTCGGATTCATTTCCATTTTTAGGGCCAACTTGGTCCTTTATCTGTCCCATCGTATACAACTAAACAGAGTATGCTCCGGCGTATCCGTGTCTTCACAATACCGGCATAGGTCATCTTTTTTTCCTATTTTCTTAATGAATTTATTAAACGATCCGTGTCCTGTCAAGGCTTGCGCCGTAAAGTAGTCCAGAGCCCTATATGCTTGTACTCATACCATTTCGAAACGTCCGGTATTATAGTTCTTGTCCATCTGGTCGTTCTGTTAGTTTCCGACAATTTCTCTCTGCCATCTGGCGATAGACTTTTTCCCCTCGTTTTCTTTTGCCACTTTCCTCATTTCCTTTGGCACATTCGTTAAGTTGTTTCTTCCTTTTATTGGTAGAGATGTAATGTATACAGTTCTGGTTATAACTTGTATTGCCTCAAGTATGTTGCCGCCCTTCTTTGTGCGGATTCCATAATTCCCCTATAGAATTTGAGATTTGTGCTAGGCAAGTGCTTACCCCTCACACTTTCTACATCATTTTCGACAATAATGGACTGTAAAAAGCTGAGTTACTTTCTGTTGGTGGGAAATAAAATGCTGGCAACGTTTAATATTATAGATCTATTAAAAACTTTATGTACAACACTGGATTACATTTAGTAATTGTGACAAAAACACTAACTATGCAAATTCATTACACTCTGGCCTGCACTTCTATTTTTACTACTAAGTTTTACAAAATGAAATATGGCGACATGACGCCTATCTGAATGGATGAGCCGGTGACGGCAAAAAGAAATGATGATGGTCTAATTTTGTCGTTAGCTGAAATTGGCGGGTTGAGGTCCCAGACATCACACCAAATCCCAGAGATATCCACAGAATATCTTTTGTGGATATCCAATATATCCACAGGATATCAGACATATTCCGTGGATCTAATATATGGATATCCAAATGTCCGTCTATATCCAGACTATAGAAGATATCCTATGGATTATCCAGCAAAATATCTAATGGGTATCTTCCAGACAATACGAGAAATCCCAGAGATATCCACAGAATATATTTTGTGGATATCCAATATGAATATCCAACCAAATGTCCGTCTATATCCCAGGATATAGAAGAATTCGGATATTCAGCAAAATATTTTATGGGTATCTTTAGTAGAGGTTCATAAAAGTAACCAATGTTTATTGAATAACGTCGAAAGAAAATAGCAGAGAAAAAATATTTTCAACACTCAAAATATTTTCAACACTCTGCCTTTGATTTTGTCCACTAAGGAGAAAGTCATCCTTATTAGGACTCTTCAGCAATAAATGGAAATTCTCGACTCCAGTCTCTAATGGAGTCTGATTGGGAAACAAATTTCGATCGAACTCAATTACGGCGGGTTAAGCATGAGTAGATGCGAAAGTGGTATCGCCATCTATACTTAGTAAGCAAAATCAAAAATTACATCTAGTGGATATCCACGATGGTTTGCGTTCGCGCCTAGACTTTGATTATTTAGTGGATGTCCATGGGATATTGAATACACCTTAAAAAAAATAATTTTAAATATCTGAACGGTACTATTAGCCACAATGGCGTAATTTTTTAATAATTTGCTATATAATTACTATTATTTATGGACATTTGCATGTCTATAAAATACATCTCATGGATATAAAATAGATATCTATCATGGACTGGACATTCAGTGGATATTGGGATGTTCAGTAGATATCCAAAGGATTTGATGTGCTGTCTGGGGTAGCGTCGCTTAAGTTGACATAGTTCTTACACAATCGTTTTTAAAATATATGTTCACATGACTTGTGACGTATGCTGTGAAGCGGGTTGCGTAAGGCCTCGAGAATTCAAACGTGCTTCAGGGTTGGTTATACTAATTGTTAAAATTAAATATTGTTGTTTCTTGTTTTAATGTTGCATGATTCAACCAAATTCATGTCCCATGCTATATACATTGACTGAGCATGTTTGAAAAGTTTAGAACTAGAACAAACCTTTATTAATCAAGATACACATACTTTGGGTTTAATTTTATTGCAGCTTTAGAATTCGATCTTACTTAATATGCAGTGAACTTCTAATTACTCACATATTGATGTTTTGTTGTTTATACTTATTATAACTGCTTCTCTATGGTATGATTTTTAGTTTTGAATTATTTAAAAAATTACCTATATTACATTACTTCTAGATCCTAATTCAGCAGATAAAAAATTCGTTTGTAAAGAGGTGTTCTGGTGGGATGGTATAGAAATTATTCCACCTCGACCGAAACTTGGACTACTCGGAAATTTCAGTAATAGATGCACGGAAGAATATCATGGTTCAGAAGAAAGTTCGGAGGAATTAACTGAAGAAGAATCACCTTCTTCGGTCTCTTCAGGTTCGGAAGGAAGTGCTGAAAGTAATCCTCGACCAAGAAGAAAGGTTATTTAATTATTTTTATTATACTGGATGTTTCAAAATTCGACTTATCGTCACCATAATATTACAAGGTACCTACCATGTTACATTCAATATGTTTCGAGACAAATGTAACGTAATAATTTGCAAAATATGATTCGGATTGCATCGAATCAACAACCAAGATATTTTATTTAGCTTGATTCTATCCTAGATATTCACAGGATTGTATTTTCTTAGGTATTTATTTCGAGTATCGTATAGAGGTAATGACCAACGGAGTTAACGAACAGCGCCAATTCGCCAGTTGGTTAACTTACTGTGTTGATGTTCATATATACTTTATGGTTCAAATCTAGTAGCATGGGTGGCTAGTATAGGTGCCCCCTTGAGCTAACGAACAGTGTCAATTCACAAGTTGAATAGCTAACTATTAAATTTCACCGTCTAGGTTTACTTATATTTGTGTGTATAAATAACCCAAGACGATACGTCCCTGTATATTTCTAAAATATCGATATTTATAATAAAATGACCCGAATTCACCCATGTCAGTCCTTATTCAAACGACACTTAGATAATATTTCAAAGAAAGTTGCATGCCATTACCCTTTCGACTCACCATTGAAAATGCAGACATTAGGTTCGTCTAAACTAGAGATACATTATGTAATAATTTTATCTCGTTGTGACATCAATTTTGAGTACGTCGCAGCGTTGCCTTGCGGAGAAGAAGGTATTTATCATGGTGTACATATAAATACTAAGGACAGCTTTACGATACGCCCATGAATGTTTACCTAACCTGGGACACCGCTCGGGCCAATATGTATATCTCTCTCTACCTTACGGCAACTTTATTCTGTGGTTCTCTTCTTCGCCTCATAAACATATTTGTGTACGTAACTTTGCCATTTAAGTTTTAAATGCAGAATATCAATCAAATTATTTATATTCTTTTAATAAACATTGAAGATGCTGAATTCATTTCTTTAACAGGAAGATACTTTAACGAATAAAACACGTTGTCCGTTATTCTATGGCTATTTATAGGCATGTGAACGATTAAAATAAAAAATGTTTAATTATCTAGAATGACAATCTGACAACAATGTTTTCGTTTTAAGGCAATATTTCTGAGAATGTAGTGCCTACTATTTTGGAACTGAACTTTAGTTTTGAACATATAAAAAAGTGTAGTATGGTACTTATTGTTTTAACGACTTACCCGACATTCTTTTTTGTTCTTATAACTATCCAAAGTACTTCCAATATTTGTATAGATTCTTTTGTGGTAACAGCCCGAAATATTACATACGCCTTTGATATTATATCCCATGTGTCTGTTATAACATACACCCTTGATTTTCTCTTTATTTTTAAGATTCTATACTATGAACACTAACAAAAATTCAAGTAGCCAAATGTAGATCGAGTCGCATAGAACTATGTGAAATTAAACACTTAAAATTGCACAAGATGTATACCTTGTAATATTTTGGTGACATTCATGTCCAGAAATACACCTTTTACAAAACCGCGTTAATGAAATAAAATAATTTATTTTCAATAGTTCTTTGGATTGAATGAAAACATTTTGAGCTTTTTAAATTTTATTATGCCATAGAAACAAAGTAAAATATTTTTTTAAAGGCTCTTAGAAGGCGTAAACCCAAACGAAAATTAATGACTAGTCTGTGGCAGCAAAATTTATCTGCAAGAAGTAATCAGGACATTCAACGTTCTTATGAAGAGAAAACAATTAGAGAAATAACAGAATTCCTAACTAGGAATGTTAGTGTTGAGAATCTTGTTAGAGGAAGAAGTGTGTCCAAGAACTCCACGCCTGTGGGTAAGTGAATCGGAACCAAATTTCCAAACTGTTTGACCTTAATGAAAATATTGTTTTAGGAGGTGTTTGGGTACGACTAGAAGCTGAATGGCGTGAATATGCAACTCATTTAAAAAATATTGCTAAGCAACAACCACCCACACCTATATGCCAAACAAAATTCAACAGATTCAAGACTAAATAAGTAATCTTGTCACATTTATTCACTTGCTTATCCAGCAAATAAAACAAATACAATCATTTTTAGATCTATTTTATTTAATAGTTAAAAATACAACAAATAAACCTCACGATTGACTCGAGGCTAAACAAATTCTTTAATATATAAAAAAAACTCTGGCGATGGAATAGAAATATGTACTGCCGTTTTTTATATGCTGATGGAACAAATGCGAAATAAATATACAAAATTTAATCCTTATATAATTTATGTAGATTCAGCTAATTTTTCTGCCTTCTGTACTACTTCTTCAATGGGTCCTACCATGTAGAAAGCAACTTCTGGTAAGTGATCTAATTCACCAGCAAGAATTTTTTGGAATCCCTAAGTACAAACAAAAACATTAGTCAGGAAAGTTACATTGTATCAGATGTGTACAGACTGGACAATAAAGAATGAAATTTGTGTATTTAAAGTGTACAGAAGAGTGAACAATTATAATATATTTTCGGTTTTTTTATTCGGCGTTTATAGTAGAGGAAACCGTGGGAGGTCGACCTTCACCCATCTGATAACCAGATGAGGCATATTTTTTTATGAAATTTTATTGATTTATTAACACGCCTATGGGAACATGTCATTCGAAAATTGTTCATGGCTATTTTTTTTTAATTAATTAAATTTTATTCAATCTTTTTTATAACCTTCATTTTTTTGATGACAGAACAATTTAATTTTAACAGTTTTAACATGGAAAATATTTGTCAGTAGGCTTGTTTACTTATTTCTGTTCATGGCTACCTAGCAAGCAGGTATGAACAGGTAAGGCAATATAAGTACCTACATCGATATGTTCACCAATAAAAATTGATATCAGAAGAAAAATAATTTAATCATGAAAATAATCGTATAGGCTTGCCTACAAAAAACTGTTCATGGAATAGTTTTAAAATCGGAGCATTTAAAACTTTAAAGCAAGGCATTAGTATTTTCAATAAAAAACAAGGAAAATAATATATTAATATAATTTTGCAAGCTTTAAATACACAAAACTTTCATTTATTTTTCCCAAAAACTTTAGTATTGCTAACGTGATTATAATACACAGGGTTGGGCATATGGGTACACCTAATTTTTGGCCAAACTAAGTTTGATTTGAAAATAGTTATATTAAAATTTTTTGTAGGTTTTTTGTTACTAGTAAATGATGAGTAGCTATTATATAATTATAAATTGTAAACATGGCATAGTCAAAAGTTTTTTAGATGAATAATTTTTTTACTATTACAAAGGGTTTAGAAACGAAATTCACAATAAAATAAAAAATTACTTAAATATTATACTGTAAATAAAATTATATTTAATATGAATTTTTTTATAAAAAACAATTGTACTGTTTTTTGTAATTCAATGAAAAGTACATAATATATTTTGCTCAAGAGTCCATACATATGGTAGACATTTTGTTTCTGATACCATCAATTTATTGAATTAATGTTTATTGAAACAGAACTGTCTGATCTTTTATTCCAGACTAAAAAAATATTTCAATAATTTAATATTGCAAGGTGTCTGAACAGAATCCATATGAAACAGTAAACTGTAATTCTCCTTGCATTTAAGATAGCTGTTTTGGATTATGAAAAAGATTTTTTTAATAAAAATAATTTATAAATAGCATAATTTTTCATAAAAAAATGTGTTGTTATTGTCACACAGATCTTAAGTTATCTTTTATTAAAGAAAGGAAAATAAATTCTTTTAATATATTACCTTAATGGTTTCTTCAAGAGGAACAAGTTTTCCAGCATGACCAGTGAAAACTTCAGCAACCTGGAAAGGTTGAGACAGGAAACGTTGGATCTTCCTAGCACGAGATACTGTAAGTTTGTCATCTTCAGACAATTCATCCATACCCAAGATGGCAATAATATCCTATAAAAAAATGTTAGGTTAAATTAAATACTGTTCTGCCAAATTATCTATTTCAAATATTAAAAGCACACAAATAAATCCACTTCATTATATACATGTCTATTGAAACAACTATTTGCTCTTATTATATAAGAAAAAATAAAAAAAAGCATTTCAATAATATTTCTTTAGCATGGTGTCTGAACAGTGTGACAAATAAATTATGTAAACTGTAATTCTCCTTGCATTTATTATTAAAATCGTAATACATTTCTAATAGAACTAACCTGTAAAGATTTGTAATCTTGCAAGATTTTTTGTACGTCACGGGCAACTTTGTAATGCTCAGCTCCAATGATGTTAGGGTCCATAATACGAGAGGTAGAATCAAGAGGATCTACGGCAGGATAGATACCCAACTCGGCGATAGCACGAGACAATACAGTGGTAGCGTCCAAATGGGCAAAAGTGGTGGCAGGGGCGGGATCTGTCAAGTCATCAGCAGGTACGTAGATGGCTTGTACAGAAGTAATGGAACCTTTCTTGGTGGTGGTGATACGTTCCTGCATAGTACCCATATCAGTGGCCAAGGTGGGTTGGTAACCTACAGCTGAGGGGATACGACCCAAAAGGGCAGATACCTCGGAACCAGCCTGGGTGAATCTAATACAAATATTGTTTATATATTTAAAATGTTTTTGGTGACACACAAATTTATAAATGTAATGGTATTTAATACGTTTTATTATAGTATGTGCTACTATACAGTTTTTATGACAATAAATGAAGACACAAGTGGATGAAGGGCATATGTAACATTTATTTTAAATGTTTTTCTGTGAATAAAGGGCTGCAAGATATCAAATATGAAGTGAAGTGAGATCTAGTCCAAAAAATAACTGCATTAAAAATATCCCATGTATCCAACTTTATTAATAAAACCCTATGTACATATTTAGGCTCTTAACACGTTCACTGCCAATCAGTTTAACCCTGAAGTCACCTAAGTATCGTAGTTCTACTTCTACATTTACCAAAAGCGCCAGCGGTACTCATGCGCAGGTAACGCGGACGCTCTAAAGCGTCGTCTGGCAGTGAACGGGTTAAACTGTCAATTTATTGAGTTCATGTATATTGTAATAGGTGCTGCCTGATCTATTTCAAGCAGTAAATAAAATATTACAATAATTTTATATTGCATGGTGTCTGAACAGTATCCATATTAAACAGTAAACTGTAATTCTCCTTGCATTTAATATTTTTAGTCCTCAATAATTTAAAGATATACAAGCCTGTGGCATTTAGGAGACATATGTTAACTCCAAAAAAATGGATTATATAAATATTTTTTTATGAATTTTCATTTGATTTATGTAAAGTCCAGTACTGGTAGTAAATCTGTCATAGTTTGATAAAATATCGACAAGTCCACTTTATTGAATTTTTACTTAGTATAATCTTATTAAAATATTATATCATGTGCTTATCATGTGTTTGGAATTATCATATTGGGTCCTATGATTGAACGTTTATGTTATCCGTAACGTACATGTTAGGCCGAATTTTAAAAGTAACGAGGCAAGTTCGTATGATGGAAACCTGTTAAATTAGAACATAACAGGCGGAAAATAACAGTAATGTGTTATGAAAGACTTTACATCATACGAATTTGTCTTTATGCTGTTAAAACTCGGCCTAACATGTACGTTACGGATAACGTAAACGTTCAATCATACCACCCATTATGTCTCCCAAAGCCACATAAGCCTATTATCAATAATTATTGTTTAATGTTTACAAACTTGTTTTGTATAATCAATATTAATAATATTGCCAAGACAGTTGTGTATTTATTAATTTTACCTGAAAATGTTGTCAATGAAAAGCAATACATCCTGTCCTTCTTGATCACGGAAATATTCAGCTACAGTCAATCCAGTCAAGGCGACACGGGCACGAGCGCCTGGGGGTTCATTCATTTGACCATAGACTAGAGCTACCTTTGAGGTTTTGTCTTTAAGGGAGATGACTCCAGACTCAATCATTTCATGATACAAATCGTTACCTACATAAACAGAAATAATAATTTTTATCTATTAAGTAAAAGGGAAGTGGGTAATAACTCAATAGTTTTTTTGTTTTAAGTTCATTGCAATAAATTATTGTTTTGTAATCATTTTATCTTACCTTCACGGGTACGTTCTCCTACTCCAGCAAATACAGAGTAACCACCATGGGCTTTCGCTACATTGTTAATAAGTTCCATAATCAATACAGTTTTTCCTACACCTGCACCACCAAAGAGACCAATTTTTCCTCCTTTGGCATAGGGGGCCAAAAGATCTACGACCTATAATGTAAATTGGTTATATTTATAAATAAATAAGTTGTCATCTGGAATTTAATCAATAATTTTTAAACTATTCACAATTAAAACTTATTTCATATACAGATAAATAAAATTTTTAATGAATTTTATATTGAAAAACTAAGAATAGCATATTCTTTAATATTATTTAAAATATAATTATACAAACTATATAGAAATAGTTTCTGTAAAATACCAATAAAATATAAATTATTGACGTACCTTGATTCCAGTTACAAGAATTTCTTGTTCTACACTCATGTCTACGAATTCAGGAGCTTCGGCATGGATGGAGGCTCTCTTCTCAGTTTCAATGGGACCCCTTTCGTCAATGGGTTCACCAATTACATTCATAATCCTTCCCAAAGTGGCCTCTCCTACTGGAATACGGATTGGGTAACCTGTATCATTGACAGGTTGACCACGAACGATACCTTCTGTACCATCCATAGCAATAGTACGTACTGTATTTTCTCCCAAGTGCTGAGCAACCTAGAAGACAAAAGAAAAGGTTTTTAGGGTGGTTCAAATCATATCTTAAGGATAGGAAACAGGTTGCCAAAATATATAAAAATAATGAGGAAGGTAGATCTGTAGAAATAACATATAAGAATACCTCAGGGAAGTATAGTAGGTCCATTGATTTTTATTATTTATGTGAATGAACTACACAGTGTTATGATTGCTAATGAAAACTGTGTGCTAACCAATTATGCAGATGACACAAATATCTTAATAAATGCAGAGAGAGAGAGAGAGAGAGAGAGAGAGAGAGAACTAAAGCTAAAAAATGGTTTGAAAAAATTAATACTCAAATGAGAGCAAAACAAATGTGGTAATTTTTAAAACCAATTACAACAGATATGAAATGCCAATAAATATTCAACTAAACAACTGTATAATATTTAAGGTCTCAACTAGTACCAAGCTTCTGGGGCTATATATTGATAGTTTTCAGTGCTGGGAAAGCCATGTTGAGTTTGTATGTACAAAACTGAGCCAAATTTGTTACAGCATCAGAGTTGTGAAGAAATATTTGGAATGGGATAGTTTAAAAATGGTATACTTTGCAAATTTTGAATCCAGAATTAGATATGGGATAATATTCTATGGTGGGAGCAATTCAATTGAAAGGGTTTTTTTTTAGTGCAAAAAAGAATAATGAGGATTATGCTCAGTTTGAATATGAGAGTCGTGTAAAGGTAAATTTAGAGAAAATAAAATCTTAACTGTGATCGGCATATACATCCAGGAATGCTTAATTTTTTATTTAAAAATAGAGGTTTATTTTCAAATTTTGAACAAACAAATACTTATATATTGAGAAATATAAACCTAGTATATCCAATACATAGGCTGACAGCTACAGAACATGGAGCAGGGTACAGCTGTGTAAAGTTGTACAATAAACTACCTGATGCTATAAAAATATTAGCAAATGTTAAAGTATTTAAAAGGGAAGTACATGAACAGTTAATTAATTTAGAACCATATACAATTAATGAATATTACTCTATGTGATCATTAATATATTTTGTGTAAGAATTGTCTTACTTATATGTATTATGATTGTTCCTCAAAATAAAGATTATTATTATTTATAAGTGCTGTTGAACAGCTCTTGAATACATTATATAATAGTAATTACTCATAGATATAATATAAAATAAGAAATACAAAAAAATTATATAAAATAATAAGATAAAATAAAAATTTAGAAAGAGAAATATAAAAATTTAAAAGAAAGAAGATTGATCAGAGGTGTGTTTATGACATACTTTGTTGGATATGGTTTAGTAACATTTTCTAACCTTACTTGCACTTTTTATCTCATATGGAAGGGTGTTAAATGCAACTAAACCATTATGAAAGTAGGGACGTTAAGCATCGAACAAGAGTAACTTTTTTCTATTTTCCTATTTTAATGCCAGAAATGTTAAAAAGTTGCAGATATTCTGGAGATGACCTCCAGTGGCCTAACAAAGCAAGTTTGGTTAAATCAAGTTATTTTGAATCTATAAATGTGGTAGCTCCATGTACAAGCAATTTCCAGACACCATATTTGATGTATGTTATCTATTTTAGGAATATATTTATGAACATTCAAAAACTATATAATTTAGGTAATCAAAAGGCACTCAAAAAAATAAATAATAAACAAATCTACTGTCTCTGGAACCAAAATTATGTCATCACTAGTTTAGTGTATAATAGTTATTTATTATACAAGGGAAAGAAGTATTAGATTTTAGCTCCAGGTTGTGTTGTCAACCGACGCGAAGCAGTTGTCACATAACATGTGACAGGACTCAATAGTATTTTCATGAAAACCCAGGGTTGGCAGATACAGGTTTTTTGCATCTAGGTTATTTAAAATAAATATTAAGAATTCACAATTTTTTTAATAAACTCTCGAGAGAAAGGATGCAAAAATGAGTGTATATAAAAACAAATGCAAACAGTTCATCAAAGGTTATAATCACTTCTTGATAGCTATTGATATTAATGATAATGACAAATTTGTTTGCAGAATGTAATTTTTTTAAATATTGTTTAATTTGTTATTAATAATAACTTTTGACATATATGAACTAAAAACCTTAATTATTATTTTTTTAATTCTTAGGTTTTTTTCCAACCCTGTGGAAACCTAATACAAATAAAATATCCATCAAAATTATTCATCCTAAATCTTCCCTGTTTTCTGACCATCAATTAATTCCCCACATACATTATATTTTTAAAATTGGTCACATGAAAAGTTCTTGCAGAAAGCCTGAATAATGATCAGTGGTTGTTTGACAGTTATCAAAAATTGATAAAAAAATTTTAGTGCTGCAAAAAATAGCAAATAAGTAATGTACTATTTTTTTATTTGGATCAGATTTTGCGATTTATGTCTAATATGATTTGGTTCGACGAACAGGGTGGATATGTTTCTCTTTGACAATGTATTAAATCAATTGAATGTTGTCCAAAACTATACTTTACATGTAATATTTTTTAAAGACAAACTTTTTACAACTAACCTATTATACAATCATGATATTCTAAATATTCGATGTCTTTACTACCTTAGCAACTGTATATATGTCTTTAAATCTAAAAACAAAAATTATATCAATCATCACTACCAAACAAGACATAATATTAATAACATGATCTTGGTACCATTTAGAAGATATGCTGTCAACCAGATATTTACTGCAATCATAGCACCAAAAATGTTCAACATACTACCATTGAAGATGCGAACCACAATTGGGTATAAAAGGTTTGTTGAGCAATGTAAAATTTTTATTTTTGAAAAAAGAGAATACATTGCTCAATTTTTGTAGTTTGTAAGTATACTTACATTTATTTCTCTAAATTTAAGAAATTATTTTAATTTGTTAATTATTCTTTTATGTTCCTCTTTTTCATATTTTTTGCCATTACCATATTATATAGTTCAGAGTAACTTTAAATCAATTATATTTTTATATTTTATGTTATATTTTACATTTCGTTCTTGCACATACAAGTGTTAAGTCACTTAGGTGCATTTATTAGTACAAGTCTAAGTTTTTGTTTAATATTATGTTGTCATATCATGTATATTGTATATAATTGAATTTCCATTTAATTGGAGTCGGATACTTTCTGACACTTTATTAGGAAGTATATTCATACATAACATCCAGTTCTCCACCATACTTTTTTTTTTAAACTTTCGTTCAAGAAGTTATGGTAATATTGTAGTTGACAGGTCTAGAAATGTGTATATTCACAACACTCTGCACTGATGTCTAGAATTTGACACAAATTTTTGTAATTATCACTATTGAAAGGTATTATTGACATTAAAAATAACAATTGTATTACTTGAAAATCTTAAGAACATTTTTTTATTTTATGGGATTTTTAATCAATCTAAAAATTGGTAAATAGATGATTAAAAGTTAAAATAGTTATTTAAATATGCTTACTACCAGGTTCCAAATAATTAAATATAACCTGGCAACTATATGTAAGGATTCCAACTGTCAAAACTAGCCAGAACAGGAATGGTGTGGACAGGCTCATTTCCAGACCCTTTAACTACAAGATTACCAGAAGTTCTACTTCAAAACAATAAAGAAGAATATTTAATTTTATTTTTTTTTTATTTAATAGTTTGTGAAAGTTTGGTTTTTCTCATTTAAACAACAGAAAAATCAGATAATATAAAAGTTATATAATTTTTTTAAATCCTACAAAATATAATTACTCATTTTTAATTAGTCAACTGATTTTTATTTACCTCAAGAATCAGCCTGGGTTGTCTGTTTTGGACTTCCAAGGCATTTAAGATAGGTGGTAATTCATCGTCAAATTGTACGTCTACGACGGCACCAATAACGGCTACAACTTTTCCTTGTACCTTACTAGCAGCTGCAGCTTTAGCAGCTAAATCTCGTTCTAAAAAAATACATAACCTTTTAAGATATCGAAAATCTTTACGTAAGTACAAAATGGCGATTGCAGAGGTGAAGTTATGTAACTTGTAGTGAAACTAGTTAAATTTGAAAAAATACATTATTTTATAGTTTAAAAAAGGTGTAATATCATTAACTAAACGACTTACGATTCTATAGAAAAATAAAAAGGTCTTACTTTACCTAGAAAGCTCACAAATTCAATTGATTTAACCGGGTACAAACTACGTTTATTTTATTGGTATATAGAGAAAAAAATAATAATTTGGCCTACTTACTTTGTACATTGTAGGAAGAGATAACTTTAAGGGATTCAGAACCAACTTTTTCAATAGTTTTTCCAGCCAAAAGGCTGGAAGAAGCTCTTGTCACTGCACCCAACATCCTAAACAAGAAGGCAAAATGAACTGAATGAAGTTTCTTGCTATTTCTTATCGTCACCGCTAGGCTAGGCACTTCCTTTGTGCGCAAAACTATTCCAAATTATGTGCGCAGCAGAAACGTTCGTTTGTCCGTTTCAATAATTTTTATTTACCAAAGGTCTCAGTATGTTTTAAAAACGTGAAAACATTTATTACGAATTTTACAGTTTTAGTTTACAAGTCAGTCCCAAAAGATAAGAACGTTGTTAGAATGAAGGTAAAGAAAATATGAAGGTAACCAGGAGAGAGAATAGGACGAGACCAATAAAGTAGTTCTTTGGTGACTCTTTGGTACCGAGACTCCAGCCAAGATTATTTAAGTTGTCTCTGTCACAAAAAGGTATTCGTAGTAACGTATTCCATGCACATGGCTTCGTCTTCTTGTGGTGGCAAAGCGCTACCTGAAAATATCAACCCATACCTAATTACACCACCAGTACAAACTCCAACGATCTGGACACACCTCAAATAGAAATGAAAAGTCTCATTATTTCTCATTACCATTGTCATAAATCGTATAATCGTCTGCGCATGCGTACTCATAGAATGCGTTACTACTTATAATAAAATACTACGAATGCGCAAGTGATTGGATCACAGTTTTTGATTTTTGTAAATCCCCAAGTATCCTTCTTTTTTAACTTAAGTTGTCATATGGGCGTTTTCTAGTGACAGTTTTAGTTTGCTGAGCTTTTAGTTTTTTTTTATTTGAAAATATCTTAAATAATTTAGTTTCTCAGGATTTAAAAAGTTGTTTATCCGACTCTCTAAAATGTCCGAAAAGATAGATTGGGCTAAATATGTATCTGAAATAGAACAAAAGGTAAAATTTACTGTAAGCATATAATGTATAATATAAACATATTGTTGTAATGGCTATTGCTTTCTTATATGCTTTTAGGATTTATTATTAAATCATAAAAACAGCCATTCTTCATCATATTTATTTACTGTTTTAACACAAATGTTACTAATATAACTTCCAATACTATACTAAATTCGGTCAACAATGTTGTATTTCTTATAGTTATCTCTGTTAATATTTATTTTGTGCCTTTTGTTTGGAATAGGTGCATGCCTTAATTATTTTTATTTTACTTGTAAAATATGTAGTAGGTATATGCAGTTTAAAGAATATATCGTAAAGAAGTCGCTCCACTTTATTGGTATATTTATTAATGGTAAACTTTGTCAACTTAGCACAGAGTGAGAAGTAATATAAAAATATTTTCCTTAGCTATATCACTGGTCTTTTTTCTACAAAATATTAATTATTGACTTTTACTTAATCATTTTATGCTCACAAAATTGAAAAATAATTATTATTACATAAAAAAGACACCAACATTAACTTAAAATAGTGTCGATTTTTGACAGTGGATGGAATGTCTGTCCCACATACTTGAACCAATACCTACTTTAACTTTAAAGTAAAATCAGAACATACAATATTCATGGGAATAATTAAATTTTACTTCTATTAAATAACAGTGCAAAAGACGAATTAAAAAATTTAATGTGTAAAGAATGTATGATGACACCTTATACATTATATATAGGAAATTATTGGTGGCAAATTGCTTATATCTTTAGCCATGTTTTAACTTTCTCTTACATTTTATAAAAACTGAAAAAGTAAGTATGCAGCTAAGTGCGCTTCACAAATTGTGCGAAAACTGTTCTCATCGGCTTTGGTTAAGGAAGAGACTGGAAGCATTTCTTTCAGGATATTTTCCAAATCACTAAACTTAGAATACTTCTTGTGTATAAGGGGTGTGCTGGATTTTAGTAATCAATTCTATAAATTGTATTCATGATAAGGACTATTTTTTCCACTCTATCCCAGAACACTGCATATTCACAGCCTCCTTTTTAAAGTTGTGGAGATCTCTGCCTCGTCATTAACTACTACTAATGTTTGTTATACAGATTTATTAGATGAAAGGTTTTGCAGACGGAATTTCTTTTTTTTTTAACTTTTTTTCCTGCCTGAATTCTGTCCAAAACTACATCCACCACAGAAGCCACAAAGGTGCAGCAGATGTACAAGGCAGCGAAGTGCAACAATAAACTCATATAGCAGTTTCAAACAAAATGTAACTTTTTATCAGAATCATTAAAATATTCAAAAAATGTACAGGGTGTTTGGAATTTGAAGTTTTATTACAGCAAAATGTTTTATTTAATTACTGCGTTAATTTACATGGAACACCCCGTATTTTAAGCTATCAATATGAAGGAAATTTTATTTACGTTAAAAGTTCCCTATACCCATATCTTAATTACTATTTATAAATCAATAAATTTCAAACATCTACTAATAGTTTTATTTTAACAAAGCTATTAAATAATAGTATATTGTGCAACAAGTGCAAAAAATAACCAATTCCACACGATGTGGAATAGGTTTTCTGCACGAGTGGCACACTATACTTTTTCTACGACCTAACCTAAAACCTACATTAAACATTTTCTTAAATAAGTTGATGAATTTTATTAAAGATTTAAAATTAGAAATTTTAAGAGGTGATAAATATGTATTATTGTTATCACTTTTTAAATTTATAACATATTTTCTTTTCTATTAATGTAAATTTAATTTAAATTTTAAAATGTATAATTTATTCACTTATTTTATTTTGTTAAATATACCTACCTTACATTAGGAATTTGTAACATACCCAGTTGTGATTGTTCCATTTTTTTATTAAACATCGAGTAAATTGACCGTAATGTAGAAAATTTAAAAGGCTTCGACAGATCCCCAAAATAAGTCATTAAAATATTTTCCGAAGAAGAGTTTACCTTATTTTGTTAGCGCCAATCCATAAATCGTGAATAAGCTAAGTTGTAAGAGAACCTGTAAGTAACTAAGTACTTTTTAATACAACATAAATTTTATTTTAAAATTACCTATTACTACCTATATTTTTTATAAACCATAAAAATTGACAATAATTATTTTGTATTAAATGTACCTATGTTCTTTAATTAAGTAGACTACTAGTCATTAAGAAATAATCAAAACCTAATGTTAGTTTTTCAAGATAAAGTAATTTTAAGCTTCTTTTATTTGCATTCCTGGTCATTAAGAAATAATCGAAGATTAAGACAGTTTTCCAATAAAAATGAAGCTTCACTTATTTGTTAACGACTAGCAGTGCAAATGTACCTATGTACCTAAGTATTAGCTTGATTTCTATTTGTAGTATATCGTTTAGTAATCTATTGAACATTGTTTATGAACAATATTTTTATATTTAATAAATTATTGGAAAAAGTGTTTGTCTTGTAATTCTCGTACACGTGTGTTAAGAGATATCATAAATATTTGTATAATATACCTACTATTTATTTATATTTTTGATTTTTAAATATAAGCTTTCTATCTCTTTTATTACCTATTATTTCAACCTTCATTTTTTCGTTATACACTTTCTGATGTTTGAATTAAAAAAAAATCTGATGTTTCCAACACAAATAATAATAATATTAATATTAATAATAATTATTATTTACCATTACTAGATAGGTACCTACTTAAATAATGCAAGTTTATAAAATATGTGCATAATTTAAAAGAATTTTGAAGGTATGTATCAAATTTATTATTTATATTAATTGCAAACCCCGTAAAAATGATGCGACACTGGTAATAGTGTACAGCCATTTCCCCTCACAACGTAAACAAACCCTATTGAATGCGGACTCTATGAAATATATATGCTCGAAGCTAAGGCCTTTGATTGTGTCAATCATACAGTATATGGTGGTGATAAAATATCTTTCAGAAAGTAAGCAAATGGTAAGAACTACTAAGAACGCTCATGTTTTAACAAAAAATAGTTACAATTTTTAAAGCATGGTATTTCATGCTCTGCTGATAGATATAAGAAAGATACGGATGCATATCAGACTCTCAAAAAATTTAATCTTGTTCATCCTAAAGTGAAAACTGTGATTTAAATTAAGATTTCCCGCATGCGGTCGATCAGCTGATTTCGCCCGAAAAAGGTAACCTTAATATTTGCTAAAGTGGTGTTTCATATAGTGTGTATAGTGATTATTCATAGTGTATGGAAATTGTGTTCTTTTTTAATTCTGTGTCATCGACACCCTGCTATGGGTATTAGCTTCATGTTCTGAATAGGCTTTGTTACTATTTCCAAGTGCCACTTTAGGAACAGCGCTCCTAATTAGAACTCAGCAGTGAATGGTCGAGTGGGGAACTTAAGCTATGCATTAGAATACATTTTTAATTCATTAAATTAAAATACAATTACTGCCACTTGCGAGATTCGAACTTTGAATTCGAAAGTTCTGACTACAAACCCCAACCACTGAGCCAATCACCAACCCACCCCGGTGTTCTTTAGTTGTTGTTTGATTCTTTGTTTGTGTTGTTTTCGTCATTTTATTATGAATATTGGATTGTTTGTTAGAAATATGTAATTATTTAGAAACGACTTCAGATTTTGATTTATAGGGCTGGGATTACCAAAAAATCATCGATTATTTTCAATTATTCGAATAATCGATTATATTCGAGCGATAAACGATTATTTTCGGTTGTTTTAGATCGACCGAGATATCGATTATTTCCATTAATCAGTTAATTTCAAATATTTATTATTCAATTATTACTAATTTATTAGATTAATGGATATATCGATATCAATTAATTTATTTTTAATATTACATTCGATTTTTATCAACTTATAGATTATTAGTAAATATGTCATCCAACTACATATTAAGGACCGATTGAACGTTTACGTTATCCGTAACGTACATGTTAGGACGAATTTTAAAAGTAACGAGGCAAGTTCGTATGATGGAAACCTGTTAAATTAGAACATAACAGGCAGAAAATAACAGTGTTATGAAAGACTTTACATCATACGAATTTGTCTCTTTGCTGTTAAAACTCGGCCTAACATGTACGTTACGGATAACGTAAACGTTCAATCATAGGACCCAATGTCATTTTAATCCACGTTTAACACAATGGTGGAATCGGTCCTTAGGAAATTAAACGATCGTTTATAATATGGAATTATCGAGCATATTTATTTATATAATTAGTTTTTATTTAATAAAACCAAATTCTCACAGTATATTTTATTTAAAATCGATTATTCGATTAATGGGTCATTCGATTATTTTAATTAATCGATTAATCAAAAATAATAATTATGTTTGAAAAGTCGAAAATAATCGATTAATAAAAAATTCGATTAATTGAAAATAATCTATTAATCGAAAATAATCGATGAAACGAAAATAATCGATAAATCGAAAATAATCAATGCATCTAAAATAATAGATTAATCGAAAATAATCGATTATCGATTTTTATAAAAAAAAACAATCTATTATAATCATAGAATTATAATGCCCTCCCCTGGATATAACTAGGAGTGGGCAAAATAATCGATTAGTTGATTAATTTTTATTTGAAAAAGCAATCGATTATTTTTGATTAATCGTTTATTTTCGATTAATTAATTATTTCGAATAATCGATAATATTGGATTAATTGATTATGATTCAAATGAAAGTCTCAATCGAGTAGAAGCGTTTTGTTTCTCAGAATTTTTCATAAGAAGAATTATTAGCACATGCCCTTCTGCCGTCTAAAGTAGGAATTAGGTTTTTCACAAAGGTAATATAGACTCTTCTCTATTGGTGTGTATAGTGATGTGATGTGATTCAACTTGAGTTTAATACAATGGCCTCTGTCTATTCAGGTACCTGTAAAAATCCTAAAAATATTACATCTACAGAGATCCTGAAATAGATAATAAAAAAGAAGAAATATGCAACCTAACCTCTTATTTGTAAATTGTTGTTGAAATTGAAATGTAAAATGTAGTGTAAAAAATGAATATTTTTTAATATTAAGTTATTGTTATTATTTAAAGAATATTTAAAAACACTGGATAATCTGGTTGATTTATAAAAGAAAATAATGTTTGAAAGTGTTGCTACTTTAGGAGAGGTAACAATAGTTTTTAATTTATTTCATATTTTTATAATTATTAGTAAAATGAATTTCTAGGATGATTTGGAATTGGACAACTCTTTTGCCCCAATTTTTAGTAGTACTCAAGATTCATATTGCCAAAAGCGTCAGAATGAAGAATCCAAAGAAATTCCAAAGAAAATTAAATTGGAAACTAAAGTCAGTCCATTTCTAAGAACACCTAGTTCTGAACATAAGAATAATTCTATTTATTCTCCAAATAATGTAACTAAAAGAATCTTTCCTGGACCAGCTGGTCTACTAGGAGATCATTTTAAAAGTTTTAACCAACAGTCAGAATTTATCAGAAAGAATTATATAGAAGATGAAGAGGTAGGTACTCAAATATACAAACATGTAAATAACATTGCAGCACCAATTAGTATTTCTAATATATCTAGGTTTTTTTTTAATAAGTAATGTAAGTTTCTTACAATTTTAATTTTGAATGGTGATGGTTTTTCTCCCACATTGCTTTACTTAACCCTCTCCAGCATTTGTCTAGGAGATCATGTAGATATGTTTCGCAAAATATTGTGACAACTCTGCCCATAATGGGTCGGAGTGGGAAACACTGCACAAGGTTCGAAAATGAGTTGGAGGGGTAGCTTGATGTGTCGCAATATATCTCGAAACTATTCTACACTGATATTCAAGTATATTTAGAGTGGAAGGTATATAATTTTCCTTTTGATTTTAAGCAAAACAACTACTGTTACTGGAAGGTTAATAATAAAATATTAACAAGTAGATAGTTTACTGATTACTGTGAATTTAGAGTGCATCTAATTACTTATTAACAAAAATTTGAATCTTTATGTTTTAAGATTTATTTACCTCAGTTGATGCTTCATCTTAAAATTTTTGCTTTGTGATGTGCCCTAAGTTCAGTCTTAATCATGGGTAATGGATTTTAAATGGGAAGAATGAGATAAGTAAACATCAATGAGTAAAATTAGAATTATTTACAAAACTCATAACCTTCCTGAAATTGTGTTATGATAAATCTATAATAGTTTTACAATAAAATAGCAAACATATTCTGCAGATATTTCCACAAAAAACATTGAATAAAATAGATATTTATAAAGATTAAAACTTTATTAACTAGCATTGTTAACTATAAACATGAATTCATTGGTTTTAAATTATTTCAATGATAAATTTACCAACAACGTGTCCTGGTAAGACACCACATTAGTCAGAAAGTTTCAAGCTCAATACATGTCTTATTCTATTCAAAGTGGAGGTATATACCAAACGTATTTACTTTTACTGTTTTGTTGTAAAAATTATTATAAAGGCTACGATGATGGCTTTGTAAAGCCAAAATCATTCTTGTGATTTTAATAAATTTAAATTTTATTCACTAATGTACTTATCTAATTCTTTACCCCGTGAATAAGTGGGTACACTATTCCCAGTTTTTTTTTATTAATTGTAGGATTTCCCATTTTGCTCCCAAGCCACATCAGCAACTTTTGCTGAGGGACCATGGAAATTAATGAAAGAAGATTTTCATACAGTAAACGGTGAGCAGCTGTATGAGAAATATACAATTAGTTGGATAAAGAAAAATTATTCACACAAGAAACTTTTAGACATTTATAAAACTCCTTTTTTGGCAGCTGTTATTCAAAATTTGGATACTGTGGATGGTGAAAGTCCATCTGTTCATGTAACACTCAGAGATACAACAGGTAAATTATATTATAACCTATATAAAACTAAAAATGGCTACAAAATATATAAGTTAACTAAATAGTTGTACTAGATAGTACAGATCTAAAAAAATACTTATGAACATCTTAGTAAATATACTTTTAAACTGGAGATGTTCTTCTAATTTAAGTGATTTCATTCAACACAGTAAAAGTATTGTTCTTTTCTTCATTTTACTATCACACTCCTATACTATGTTCTCTATTGAATCCGTAGATGTTTGTAAGATTTTCCAAACTTGTAGATTTTATATCTTCAATTACTCAATTTAATTTATTATAGGTGTTATAGAAGCTACAATTCTATACAGTTTCTACAAAGAAAATGCAGCATACTTAACCACAGGCTCGGTAATTGTTCTAAAACCAATTGGGGTTCTGACTTCTCTAGAGAGTCATTGTTTAACCATAACTGCAGGAAATTTGCTAGTTATTTACCATCAAAAGGAGTCAAATGTTGATGAAGGGCCAACAAATGAAAATATTATTAAAAAAATTGTACTTCAACCTTCTACAACGGAAGAAATTTGGAAGGAGGCAAACAGTGATTTAATGAAAAATAAAACAAATAGTTCAAAAAGTATTAATAACAATAAACCTCAGTTCTCAAATGTTTATAGTAATTATAACAAACTGTCAAGTGTCAGTGTTTCTAATACAAATGACTCTTTATTAGCTGTACCAAAAGTCATTGCAAATATGAGTGTTTCACAAAGTAATATCACAAATGCAGCGTCTCAGAATAATGTGAAGAAAAAGTTTGATTTTAAAAATAATATTAAAAAGACTGAACTTAGTGATATAAGTGATGCTAAAAATAATGTGAGGTATTGTAATAGTCCATTACCTCAAAATAATGAAAAAGATACCGAGATTTGGAAAACAATGCTGGAAGATGTTGATGAAGATCTGTTGTTTGGTGATTTTTGATTTTCACATTTTTTTATACATTTTCGTAATATATTTATATTTAATTTGTTTTTATTATTGTTTTTAATATTGAACAATGGCTTGGAACTTAGATTAAAAAAAAAATGGCCTAAAAATGTTTACAAAGAAGGAAACAATGGGATCCACATATAGATTTTAATTTTTTCCTTTTCTTGCCCCTCTCGTTATGTTATGGGATGTGAGATAAAATCTATTGTGCTCCCTTCTGTCTTTAAGGTAACAAGGAAACGAATGATGTGTGATAAACCGGCGGACTCCTATGATGTAGAAGAAGTATCTGGATTTTTTGCTAGGTTACGAGTAGTGGGTATGACGGGGAATTTTTCACAGTCTGATCTGTGCAATCACATTCAAAATAGTAATTCTAGGATATTCTCGAGCGACTCATATTTAAAAATATTAAAAATTTATCCAACAAAAAAGCAACCTAACATTTGGCAGTCAGTTATACAAGTCACTAAGGCGGTATATGAGCGTGCATTGAATTCAGGAAACCTATTTGTCGGTTATGATAGTTGCGTAGTACATGATGCTGTTGAACTAGTTCGCTGTTATAAATGCAATTAATTTTCTCACTCCTCGTGTAATTGCAATAAGGCTGTTTCCTGCCCTTTATGTGGAGAAGCACATGAATTGTAAGTCTAGCGTAAAAAAATGCTCCAATTATGCGAAACTAACCAACAAGAATGTTGACATTAATCATGCAGTTTGGGAAAAAGAAAAATGTACAACATACCCAGACAGCACAAAAATATTGCATGAATATTCAATGCATATCTCAACTGCATACTCCTATATTCCATGGATATGCCATATCCGCCATGGCATATGACGAGAAGATTGCAGGAATATTCAAGGTCACCATGAAACATATGCCCACGATATATTTTTATCTGCCAAAATATATGTATGGCATATTCTCTGAATTTACTGAGGACATCTATGTATGCCTATATTCATGGTATTTTGAATATTCATGGCATATTCAATTTTTTTTGTAATGCCGTACCATAGTTTAGAAAATAAAACCCATACTTAAATACAAAATAAATTTTATTTTAAAAATAAAGCAAATTTTAAAAAATAAAACAATACATACATACAAAAAACTAAAAAAATAAATTTATTTGTACCTACTTTTCTGCTAAAAAAAATGACATATTAAGATATGTATATCAGTAAAATAGAAATATTTTAAAATCTTGAGACAAACATTACAATAATACTTACTTCTATAGCATTTTTGGGTCACTTTATTTATAGTAAAGGCCTCTACATTTTCCGTTGCCATTTGTGTACTATGGATTTTCCTACACCTCTAAAAAAACAAAAATAGGTTTACATAGTGCCTTGTCTGCAATTTTATTGCGAATTGTCCATATTTTTATTTCCTCTTAACACTTTTATAATGATCAGTTACTTTATTACTAAGAATAGGTAAATCATTAGCCGTAGATGTCTTTGAATTAATATCCTATATAAAGAGAGCTGTTGAAATAAACTCAGATTCTTGAATTTTACACGAGTTTTTTCCTGGAGAAAAGAATAATGGTATTTCCTCGGAAGATTCAGTAAGAAGCTTACATTTTACATTCATCTGAAGCTAATGCTCTATCATTATTTGAGAACAAAAGATTCGTCTACCAATTGATTTACACTTCTTATAAAATATTTATGATTTTAAGCACTACACTGATACTACAGAAGGGCCATATATTATAATTAATCAGACTTACCCCTTAGGTGGGTATATCGTGAGAAAAAACTAAAACTGCATGGAGGAAGGATAATCACGTCAGCAAATCTGACAATGTTTGGTTATGTGTCTTATTCTTCTTTTTTTTTTTATTAGTGGCCTTCATCGTTTAGAGTATTTGACCAAGGTATCATGAATAAAAAAATATTCCTAACAATCTAAAGCTGTTTTTTAGCCACCACATTGGTTTAAAATATTTTTTAAACCATATTTAAAGTGACGTCATGAATTAATAGATGGCAAAAATAGGGTGTTTTAAAAATATAATCTGCTGTCACATGACAAAATTTTTTTGATCGTATTTTTTTTTTAATGATTGTTAAATCAGATGAAGGAAGATAAGTGTTTGATAGCGATTTTAAGTAAAAATTGAATTGTTTTTAATAGGTACATTGGAATCTGAAACGTTATTATTTTATTTTTGGTATTTTTCTTGTCAATAAACATATGGTATCATATTTATTCCGTAGTTCCACAGATACGCGATTGTCTAACGATTATTTGCTGTAGATTTGTTGGGCTTTTCCAAAGTTCATCAACTGCCAAAGAACGTTTAATTGCTTTTAAATATTTGCTGGCAAATTCAGAATCTGAAGCAAACTACGTAATTATTTTTGTAAAAAACGTACAATTGATAAGTAATCCTTTAACCTTACTTTAATTGAATTATTGTTTCATAATCAAGAGTAACCCATAGGTAGATCACATTGTCCAACTGTTTATGATGACCATAAATATTAATATTTGTATTAAAACATTATAACCAATTAATTTATGAATATGAATCACATAATATATGTATGAAGTTATCAAAAATCAATAAAAATCAACAAAACGTCAAATATATCAAAATGTTCAAAGATGGAACAGAGCAAAACAACATACAACAGCCACAATCAGAATCTCTTATGTGTCAACCGTTATTGAACCATATGCCTCCCACTGGTTCAAAAATTCTAGCTTTGGTTTAAAATATTTCGTACGCGACGTCATAGTTGCATCACTAAAATTTAAACGGTTTAAAACAGTCGAAAATATTTTAAACCATACACTCGCTAAAAAATACCTTAACTTCCCGTGTAACAAAGACTTACGTTCGACGATAGGCTAGATTATGAGTGCATCCAATAAGACACTATTAGGTAATTTTTACTACCAACTACTAATACTTACTAGGCGCATACTTTTGACTTTTAGAATCATTCTTTTGTCCTTTTCTTGTCTACATTATAGGAAAACTATACATACTTATTTTATCTATGGAGATAAAGATAATTTGATCTCGGAGGTTTGATTTTTTTTATTAATTGAAAATAAGTTTGCATGATTTAAAGTTACATTCCGGAGTTCTAAGTTCACGTTTTTGTTTAATTTAAGTCTTTATAAACTAAACAAAGGATGATTCTGTAAACTATATCTTCATTTGTACTTATAAATAATAAAACAAAATAGTTAAATATAATATAATATTCTACAGAGATATCTATACAATATGAAAAATGAATATGCAGAGCATATCAAAAATACATATGCCTGGAATATCTTTCTAGAATATAGAATATGAAATATATTCTGTGAATATTCCATAAATATTGCAATATATTTTGGCAAATAGGCAGATTGGTGGCATATGCCAGGAATGTAGTGTGCTGTCTGGGTATTGCCAGATGTATAAAAATTTTAAAGATAAGTTATCTGTCACAATTTAGCAATCAAATATTTCGCATACTCCCCGCGTACATGTTCCAGAGGTAAAACCAGATACTAAAATAAGCTCAAAAAGTTTATCTATATTTTATTAGAATACCAGAGGATTAAAAACAAAAACTAATCTGATATTTAATGCGATGATAGCTCAAAGCGATGGTAGCGTTTTTGTGATAACTGAAACTTGACTCATCAGTCAATAATTCAGAATTATTTCAAGCTAATTTTTGTATATACAGGGCGGATCGGATTTTTTTGCAAAACTCTGACTAGAGGTGAACAAGTAAATTTAAATGAATATTCTTTTCCTACATTTCTATATGTTGATATAGTTCTAGTAAAAACAACCATGTCATCTCATCATTTGTTTTTAATAAATATATATTCCGCCACAAACGCCCCATACTGAATTTGAACATTTTTTTTGAAGCTTTATGTTCCTTAAATTTATTATATAACAGTTTCTTGTTAGTAATCGGTGATTTTAATACCAGCAAATATGCGGAATATCTTAGTAACGGCAAAAGTAACAAATACATTTCAATAATCAATGATTTCTCTCAACTTTTTAATTTATCTCAGTCTAACATTATCTTTTATGAAGTCTAACATTATCTTTTATGATATAATAATTAGGCTATTAGATTTATTCTTCTTTAATGATAAATGTCTAGTAGAAAAATCGCTTGATCCATTTGTAGTGGAAGATAAACATCATCCTGCTCTGGACATCACTTGTTACTTGGAAGTAAAAACTAACCGTAAAAACAACCTGGAATCGTCCTTTGAAAACTGTTATAATTTCAAAAATGCCAATTTTCCACTAATGTACAATTTAATTTCCAGTATTGACTGGACATTTTTAGAAGCTTTTAATAATGCAGAAGACGCTTGTGCATACTTTTATGGAAAATTATATAATATTCTTGATAAATGTCCCAAATATTCCTGCAAGCATCAAAACAAATATCCAGCATGGTTTAATATAGAGAAATAATCAATCAGTTACGCGTCAAAACTAATATGTGGAAAAAATACAGACGAGAAAATGATTTAGAAGCCTTTGAAGACCAAACGCATAAGAGCTGCTTTAAAATTAGAAATAGACATTTTTTACAAAGCATATATTAAAAAGACTGAAGAAGAGATATCTAGTAATCCAAGTAAATTTTGGGCATTTATATATAAATAGTAAGAAATCACAATACAAATCCCCTCAAATAATGTCTTATGACAACAATTCACTAAAAACTACATTAGATATTCTCAATGGATTTGCTGACTTCTTCAAACAGTCATATATTACCTCTAGCCCGTTTACTGCTAATTCAAATTCACAACTCAATGGCCCGTTCCTTAATGTCAATAATTTTACCGAAAAAGATGTATATGAAGCTCTATAGTCTATTAAACCTAAAAAGGCAACTAGTCCAGACCATATTCCATCTTTTATTTTAAAGAATTGTGCCTTTCAACTTGCTCCTCCGTTAGCCACCCTTATAAATATATGTCTCAGAACATCAACAGTTCCAGATATTTGGAAGACCTCAAAAGTATGTCCAGTTTT